TGATGGTAAATGAACTGGGCGATCTAGGAGTGATCCCTAGTGAAAAAAACCCTCTTGCCATTCAAAAAAGCAGCACATGGGAATGCAGGTTCAAGTCTAATCTGCTCCCTCGTGTGCTAGTTAGCTACTTGTATAACACACAGGGGAGAAGCAAGTAGGGGACTATTTCAAATGTGATTTACATCGGCAGCAGAATAGCATATTTGATCAGTGCTTCTACTATAATAGTAGATACAAGGAGATTCCATGTCCCCAGGCATTTTCAACTTCTTAAATGATACTATATTTTCAAGGAATGTACAAGTATTGGTTTGCCTGTTTCTCTCCTGCCATCTGTTAGATCACACTACTCACAAGTCCCAAGGTAACCATGAGGCTAGGACTCCACCCTCACCCTTTATCACCTGCAGCGAAAAGACACCCAGGACCAACAGCCACCCGCTTCTGGATAGTCACAGAAAGCTCCAACATTTCCTTTTAGCAGCTTAAAGACACAGGATCTAAAGTACCACTAGAATATAAACAGCCTGTTTTGATGCATGATTACTAAGAACTCAGCTCTACTGAGTGCGAAGGGAATTAATTCTCAAAGTAACATTGCAGCTTTGGGGCTACCATGTCTTCCCTGGCAGAGAGGACTTGTTACCTCTGTTTCCTTACTTTTGCTCAGAGCAAATTTAGAATCCTACTACTGTAGTTGGAGAAAACAGCGGCCTCCCAGGCCATGACGCCACTGAAGGAAGAGAACGAAACAGCAGTGTTTTCTGCTAGCCAGATGTGGCTCCCATGCTATTAACACCAGCTGCAGCCCTCAGGAGGTAGCAGGCTATGTTCAGGTCAGAAGACGTCTCACCTGCCAGTTCCTGCCTGTCAAGTAATTTCTGCATAACTTCTCTAAACCCACGAAAACAGGCCAGCACCTCTGTGTAAAGTAAGAATCCTATAGTAATAGTACAATCATTGTGGAACTTTGTAAGTACTTGGGGAGAGGGCGTTATTCCCTCTGGAATCACCAGTAGATGTTGTGGAACCACAATTTCCATCAGCAAAGTCACCTGTCAGGGATGATGGGAGTTACAGTTCAACAACGTCCACATATTCTGATTTTTAAAGTACAAGAGTTTCCCTTCTTATTAAGAGAATCCCTGCAAAGAAAACAGAAGGTGTTTGCTCTCCAACAGAGACAACATAATAGATTCTAATATCTAAAATTAAAAATGTAGCTTTCAACAAAATAGCTGTAAATTAGAGGAATCCTTCTATGTTTTGTTAACAGTTTTCTTGTAAGTTTATACAGTGGTGTTTTGTTTCCACTGCAGTAAAACGTTTGTTTAGAACTTTATTTCAGGGTACCTTATCTGACAATAGACTACCCATGCAAACCAATGTACTGTACTGTATGACTTCTCAGAAGTAAGTCCTATTGAGTTCAATGAGGCCTACCCCAAGATAAGAGTAATGAGATTGCAGACTAAATATAGATGATCTGCACGACATTAAATAGGCAGATGCTCTATTGTGGCATTATGTATAACATCTTAGCTCAAACACCAGCACTTTGGAAAGGAAAATTAATGATTGAAATGGAAGAGCGTGGCTACCTGCCTTCTACAACTTAGTCTAGTTGTTTTTAAAACCACATCTCAGTTGTTGGTCATTGTCATACCTGGAAGTTTTATTCAGGGCTGCACATCAAGATACTTCTTTCTTGACTCTACTACCAAGCAACATGGTTCTAGTGTCCTACAAGAGAATCTACAACCACCCTCTCCAAATTGATCTACTGAACCCATCCCAAGAGGCTACTGATTGGTTTTAATATACAACCTCCAATTAAGAAACACTCTGCAAAGGACCAGGCTTCACTTGGGAGTCTGGAAGAAAACAGAGACCTATATGGGGCTGCACCACAGCAAAATTCTGTCAGCAGTGAGACTGACTGGTACAAATAGCCTTGTTTTTCTAAAGAGAAGAGAATGGAGGGCTGTGAAGGAGAGAAAGGGAGTGAGCTGTCCTCCACAGTCAGAGGAGCAGAAGGAGGAGCTGGCTGTGTGGAGGGCATACTGGTGGAGGTGGAGCCAGATGAGAGGAAGGTACCAAAGGCTATGGAAGTGTGTTTTGCAGATGAGAGAGGGGAGGAGCAAGATCTAATAGTATGGGAGGATATAAATGAGGGAGAAAAGGCGGGAAGTTTCAGAGCCGGCTGATAAGAAAGATAGATCTGTGGAGATGGAATGGAGCATGGGACAAGAGAGCTTTATTAAGTTGCTCAAGGAGTTTCCCAACTTACAAGTGAACGGAGGATTGTTGCCGGAGCCTCCAGATTTCTTCGCACGTGGTCAAGAGCTAGATCCGTCGGAATGGACTGTGGTGGTTTATCCACGCAATCAGCGTGGGGGGAGAAGGGTGATCCGTCCCAGTCCCTCTTTACTCCAGAGCCAGCAGGAGGGGGACTGGGCAAGACACCCCTGTTATGGGACAATTTGTGCTGTCAGAACCACGCCACTAAGACCTATGACCGACCGGGAGAGGTTTGGACTAGCCCCCCAGTAAGAAGAAAGAAACCAACACGCATATACGCAGTTATAAGTTGTTGCCAGAGTTAAGTTTAATGGACCCATTCGAACCTGCTGAGTTGAGTTTGTCTGTTAATAAATCTGATTCTGTTAAGAAAAATGAACAGCCTCCGGTCCTCTTTCCTGCGGCGTCAACGGATCCGCCCAGGCCAGAACCTACCCATAATCACAAGGGCAAATCAGGAGACCCCAGATTCACATCTCATCTATATTGCAAACTCACTAGGTGGCCTCAAGAAAACAGCTTTCTCTTAGCCTCACTGGACACCTGCAAATGTGAGAATAATATCAAAAGAGAGCAGGGGAAATGGAGTCATCTGTTTCTTTTTAAGAAACCCTGCAAGAGACAGAGACACACAACGCTTAAAATTTAAAGAAAATTCATACTAAATAGATGAAAGTCCATAATATTAGAGAGGCTATTGCTACAAAGAAGAGAACAGCCCTGCTAATATGTAGTGGTTTTAACCCCAAATATTTTAAAGGTCTAGATAAACAATATCCTATGCAGCTTCCAAACAGTTCTATACTTTAGATTAGAACAAAAAAAAGCTTCATTGAAACGTGGAAGAGGTCACAGAGCAGCCCATGCAGGAGAGGCCGCTCCTGCACACCACTCCTTTGGCCCATGAGGGCCCCACATCCTAGAGATGCAAATCCCATCTATGGGGCCACCCCATCCCTTCTCCACAGGCCTTCTTGAGGTTCACCAGGGATCACCACCTCAAGAAACGTCCAGGCCCTCACAAAGGCCCTTTCTTGCTCCAGACCCCAGAGACGAGACCTACCACCACCTCCTTGCCCTACACAACACCCACACCTAGAGAGACCCCCCTTCTAGACCCCATTGGCCACGCCCCCAACCGAACCCCCTAAGGTAATTATAGGCCCCGCCCCCAACCTAGGCCCCACCCCTCCTCGCTCTCTCACCGGCGGCTCCGGGTCTCCGGGTCTCAATCTCTCTCTTTCTCTCTCTTTCCCTCCATCTCTCTGGTAGGACTCCAATATCTATGGGGTGTTGGTTCCAAGCCCCCCTTCCAATGCTGAATTATAGTGAGCACTGTTTTAATAGCCTATGCTACATAAAACATGGTTTCTGTCTCCCTTTATTGGCCAGTTCTCGTAATTCTATCTTTAGAAATATACCTTTCTATGATTTTTCTTTTAATATTTTTAATATTTTCTCCGTCCAAGCACTCGGTTATACTCATTGGCTCAGACCGCGGAGATGTCTTCCCCGTGGCCACGCCTACCACTCCGTGAAAAAAAAGCTGAGGGGCGGGCCTTGCGTCTTCGCGGATCGCCTGATGGACAACGAAAACGTCCCTCCAATTTTACTCTTCGATCATTGGCTTTTCATTGCTGTTATTGATGAATGAATGAGTTGTGGGGCTCCCTTAGAGCAGTAAGTGACATGCCGCATTTACAAATTCCACCGTGTACAGAAATACTGTATATGTGAAGAGGCATCTTTTATTAGAGCAGCTTTATCCCGGCTGAAAAGAGCAAACGATTTTCTTTCATATTTTCAAAGACATGCAGGGCGGATTTCTCAGCTATTCACACCAGTAAAGGGGGAGAGAAAGAGAAATACAAGGGCATTGGAAAAAAAGGCACATCTGTCGTTGTACAGGGATGTATCAGAAGCAATAATATTGAAGTCCTGCCTAAATGAGAGCAAAATAGAAATAATAATATTCCGGAAGGATGTTGTAGATGTCACCCGTTAATTGAAGTGAATGAGTCCATGCCATGAAATATTTTGCAATTTAACTAATCTGATTTTGAATGATGTGTGTTTTGGAAGAAAACCATAGGTTTGTGTGTTAGGCAGCGATTTGAAGCCGGAAGTAAGTGCTTTGCGTAAATAGTCTCTTTGTTCCTCTACTTCACGAGCGTAGCTTGGTGGAAAGACGCTTTTTGATGACGACATAAAGAGAACGCCAAGCCTCGCGTGACGTATTTACTGTGGGACGGAGGTAGTGTTCGTTTGGACGACGGTGCGAAGAAGTGGAAGGAGCTACTGTACTGGTAAGGATGAACGGGAAATGGAGGCGCGTTGGGTTTGGGAGCAATGAAGCCTTCTTAGGCAGCCGCTGGACAGAGGTTGCTGTGAGGGTTGGAGAAGAAAGGAGTTGAGAATCTGGCTTAAATGTTCTTGGTGGAAGCGGGCAGCCGAGGGTGTCGAGTCTGGAGGAGCAACATCTTAGTTTTTCTCATGAGGGAGAAGAGTATACGTTGAGGCGATGTGGTTTTTTTCTCCCCTTTTAAAGAAAGGGTAACTAAGTACAGAAAATATTAACTGAATGGCTGCAGCAAAGGGGGTGGGGTTGGAAGTTTGGAGAACAACATAATTCCTGGAAATGAACGATTCGTGTGGAATGATAGTGAAATCTGAATGAGGGTTTATTTGATTCGTGGAGAAAGGAAAGAATTGCATAACATTGAAAAGTAGAGGAGGAGAGCTGTATACAGTGGAAGGCTGGAAGCAAAGCAGTGGTTTCTTACCTCCCATGGGTTTCAATAGGCAGAATTATGTCTTCCTGTCCAGGAATAGGGGGAATGAGAAATTGGAACTGAGGGGTGCAGTGATTTGGAGGTCTTGTGCTGTTGGGCATCTAGGAGTTCCGTACTGGAGTGGGTAGAGTTTAGAATCCTAGCCCAGTACTGAGGGAATTGGCAAATAAATACAGCTGTGAATAGGTATGTTGGTTGTTTCAGGCTTGTCTCTCTCTTTCTCTCATCCTGTGTTCTTTGCAGGCTTGATCCATCATGTCTTTAGCAGATGAACTTTTGGCTGACCTTGAGGAGGCTGCAGAAGAAGAGGATGGCAGCTTTGCAGATGAGGAAGACGAGCCTCCTATTGAGGATGTTCAGGAAGAGATGCAGCTGGATCTCACAACTGATTCAGTCAAGAGTATTGCCAAATTGTGGGACAGCAAAATGGTGAGAGGAATACAGGATTGACCTGTAGCAAAGACCAGTTTAATAAGGCTCTGGAAATAAGTACTGTACAAAGTAATGGCAATCTCTGTAACCAATTTGGATACTTTAGATGGGGAAGCAAACAATAATGTCACAAGACAGTCCACAGTGTATCAGTGAGAATATCATGAAGCAGCCTGACTAAAATAAAAAACTGTAGCATCTGTATCTTCACTTGTTACTTCACCAAGGATTAAAATATGGCAGAATGCATTTCAGGTAGACTGGTTCTTACCAACCTTGGTGGAAGCAGAATATTTTTGCTCTTCAGTTCTAAAGTTGAAACTGTTGTGTAGCTTGCTGGCTTTTGAATTGTTACTTTAGGATAAAATTCCAAATTAGGATTAAGCCTATATTCTGGTTACTCTGCAATACAGTGTAAAGTAATGACAATCTCTGTAACCAATTTGGATACTGTAGACGGGGAAGCAAACAATAATGTCACAAGACAGTCCACAGTGTTTCAATGAGAATATCATGAAGCAGCCTGACAAAAATCAAAAACATATTTGTATGTGGTAGAATGCATTTCAAGTAGACTGGTTCTTGTCAACCTTGGTGGAAGCAGAATATTTTGGCTCTTCAGTTCTAAAGTTGAAACTGTTGTGTAGCTTTCTGGCTTTTGAATTGTTACTTTAGGATAAAATTCCAAATTAGGATTAAGCCTATATTGTGGTTACTTTGCAATATGACATTTCTCTTTCAGGCTTTGGAAAGTAGGCTGAGAGACTGACCTGAAGGATGTTGTTCACAATACATGATTTCTGTATTTTTATCTTATTTTTGTACAGTTTGCTGAAATCATGGTGAACATTTCTCTTTCAGGCTTTGTAAAGTAGGCTGAGAGACTGACCTGAAGGATGTTGTCCACAATACATTATTTCTATACATTATTTATCTTAATTTTGTACAGTTTGCTGAAATCATGGTGAAGATAGAAGAGTACATCAGTAAACAGCCCAAAGCATCTGAAGGTACTGAGTCATTTATGTTCTGATTTGGTTTAGAAATACATCATATGCTTGCACCCACATGGCCTCTTCTTGAGCCCCAACAGTCCACTGAATGACAGCCTGGTTTGGGCAGTATGGAACCTACAACAAGGTTTATGCACTGTGCAAAGTATACATTGCCTGTACCATCATTATATAGTCCATATGGGGTTCAACTTTGACTTTTCCTCTGTTTCCAGTTTTAGGCCCCGTAGAGGCTGCACCTGAGTACAGAGTCATTGTGGATGCCAACAACCTCACTGTGGAGATTGAGAATGAGCTGAGTGAGTAGAAACGTCATGCTTGGTTTGGGTATCTGAGTGCGAAGTCACCAGGGAAGGTGTGGGAACAATGGACCATCAGCTACTCTGTGGTGTGAGGGTGGTAGGATGAGAACTCGGGGCTCTCAGATGTTGTTGGACGCCAATTCGCTTGATTCTCCAGGCAGTCTTGCTGATAGTAAGGAGTGGTAAGCGCAGTCATTTAGAAGCATCTAGAGCGGCTGAGGTTTTCCATTCCTGCATTGCAGCCCAACAGCTTTGAAAACTTTCTGAGTTACAACATATCTGGAAGTGCGGTTTGGTTATCTTCAGTGTACTGATTATCTGTGCTGCAGCTCCCTTCTATGTGTTGTCTTTACATTTTTTTACTCTAGACATTATTCACAAGTTTATCCGAGACAAATATTCCAAGCGATTTCCAGAACTGGAATCTCTTGTCCCCAATGCTCTCGATTACATCCGGACTGTCAAGGTATTGTTTCTTGCTTCTTGAAATTTGAAAACCAAGTTCTTAAGTTGGCACTGAGAGTTAGCGTAATCAAATTTGAACCAAAATGTGTGCAGCAATACAGATATATCTGGAGCTTGGATACTGGTAAGTTGGATGCCAATACTTATCTGGCTTCAAAGTTCACTGAATGGTTTTTGAAAACCTATCTTTAAGGAAGTCAAAATGAGAACACTGGATATATATTTAGAACATTTTTATGCCATTCTAAAACCAAAAGAACTTCCAGAGTACTTTATGGAATATAAATAATAAAATGTGCAAATAATAAAACAGTTCCAGCCTTACATTCTTAAAAAAAATCACAGCAGAAAAGGAAAAAAATAGTGGGAAAGGACAGGGGGGGAGAAGAAGCAAATTCAGACACTGTATTTTAGTTATTTATAGCTTTTACAGATGTTACAGCTATATAGAAAGATAGATAGGGTTAAGGTATTGTAATCAAATTCCTCCCAGGAGATTGGGGCATAGCCTTTGACTGGCCTTCTGCTCTCTGGTCTCATCCACTGACCAGAGTGTGTTGCTCTTAAGCTTTGTGCTCCAAAAAAAGAGAGAACTGTAATTAGAAGTAAAGGCCAGGTATTAATTTTGCTGGAGAGATGATGTCACAATCGCTGATGAAGATTAGAACAAGCTCTTGAGCAAGCTTGATGATTTTTGGCAAGGGCGGGACTTGGCCTTTTGTACACAGTTCCCCGGATAAGGATGAAACTTCTCATTGACAAAAAACTAGCCATATGTAAGCATTTCTTTGATAGGTGACATTAGATTGTGTAACCCTTGCAGGAGTTAGGCAACAGTTTGGACAAATGCAAGAACAATGAGAACCTTCAGCAGATCCTTACCAACGCCACAATCATGGTGGTCAGTGTTACAGCATCTACTACCCAAGGGTAAGTTGGACGCTCTGCAGGGGCAAAGGGAAGGGCTTTTTTAAAAAGGAGAGATAGGAGAGATCTACAACAGAAGAGGGAATCTGCAAATGCTAGGTCAAATCTACATATGCCTCTGAAGTAGGTAGTATGAACCATTCCAAACTGCAGATGAGGGAACCAGTTCTATGGTTGTGAGAGAGAGAGAGTATAAAATATATACATAACCTCCTGAAGTCTGAGATAGTATAACACACTTGACTACTATTTCTGCTGTATATGTGGACCTGTCCCTTGATCCAAACAGTTTTCCCTTCAAAGAATTTGAAGTATGATCTAGTTCTGCAGGCGGATTTTGGAGTCTAGATTTTGAGTATGTACGGTAACTTTCTGGCTACAGGGTGGTCTTCCCAAGATCGCTAGCTAGTTTAAAGAGAATGGTAGACAGGATTTGAAAAATGGGGTTAAAATAGAACTGAGTCATGTGCTGTTTGGAATGCCTCTTAATATTCCTAGCTTTCCTAGGCCTGGAGGTGTGTTTCAAAACCAAAGAAGAATCCTTAATTCAGATAATTGCTATCTGAGTTCTGATTATCTGAACCCTAAATCTGTCATATTCCTATATTGTTATTTCAATTTGTGTAGCACCCCATTAGTGCAAACAGTCTGGGTGGTTCACAAGATTTAGTCTATATTTCTTCTCATTTTTGCTTCTCATTTTTACCACATTGTTAAGTAGTTATCAAATATGTACTCATAAGCTGTTCTAGTTTTGGAGGTCTGTCACGTGGACCTGTCAGCTGCAACTGTTATCCGTTTTCGCACACCAGAAGTGTGATGGATGCATCATCTACATAAAAACTGCCACTCAGAATTAGTTAGTGTATCTAGCGATGGTACAGAGAGCTTTTTAAACGAAAATATTGCTCTCGGCATCAGTGTGTTTGGTTTAAGTGGGGAAACTGTAAATTGTAGCATGATGACCTAGTGGCTAGGCCTCCATTATGGTCTTTACTTTGTTACAGGCAGCAGTTAACAGAGGAAGAACTGGAGCGCATTGAGGAGGCCTGTGACATGGCCCTGGAGTTGAACCAGTCCAAGCACCGCATTTATGAATATGTGGAGTCCCGCATGTCCTTTATTGCCCCCAACCTGTCCATCATTGTGGGGGCCTCTACGGCTGCTAAGATTATGGGTGAGACACTCCCCGGAGATTTCTGGATTTTGCGTACTAGAAGAGGTCTCCTTGTGTACTGGGATAGGGAAACTTGGAGCTCTACTAGTTGATCATTGGAAGAAAGGGTCATCTAGGCTTTGATATGTGTGCGTGTGCACGCATTCTCTGTGTGAAAGGGTGGAACATCAAGTTTGTCTCAGTGGGGATCATATGCGGTGGGAAATTATTTTTGCAATCCATTTTTCTAGAAGGAAAGCACGAAGCATATGTTCAAATTAATGCTCCTTTTAGCTTTGCTGGCTGTATTATTAATCACTGATTGGTTTTGTTGTAGAAAGGGTGGAACATCAAGTTTGTCTCAGTGGGGATCATATGCGGTGGGAAATTATTTTTGCAGTCCATTTTTCTAGAAGGAAAGCACAAAGCATATGTTCAAATTAATGCTCCTTTATTATTAATCACTGATTGGTTTTGTTGTAGGTCCACTGTCTGGAATTAACCAATAGACCTCCTTATGAATTTACAGGTGCCTCTCCCCAGGGCAAGGGTCTCAGCTGCAAATTTTAACTGGCAAATTTTGGCTGAGATGCCAAGGACTGGCTAATCAAAAGCCTGAACTGCCTGGCATATTATGCTGTATTGACTCTGCATTGTCTTTTCTTACCCAGGCATTGCTGGTGGCCTCACGAACCTCTCAAAGATGCCGGCCTGTAACATCATGCTTCTGGGGGCACAGAGGAAGACCCTGTCTGGCTTTTCCAGCACTTCAGTGCTGCCCCATACTGGCTATATCTACCACAGTGATATTGTGCAGTCGTTGCCTCCGGTATGGCAGAAGTCTTCAGTTCTTTTCCCTGCATGAGTAATATGTTGGGCCATCACCTTCCTAACAGCAACGAACAATTTTTAAATTTCTGTTCTTGCAGGATCTGCGGAGAAAAGCAGCTCGGTTGGTGGCAGCAAAATGCACGCTGGCAGCACGAGTGGATAGCTTCCATGAGAGCTCGGAAGGGAAGGTGAGAAGGGGTCCAGGACAAAGGTTTTAGTACACTGGGTTGGAGCTGGGAGTGGGGAAGTTTGATGTTCTCTATGAGAAGTTGTAGAAGACTGAATGCTTTGACAAGTAAATATTATAGAGTCAACGCAGCATAATATGCCAGACAGTATATATAACACAGCCTCCTTAGCACTGGCACCTGGGATCTGGGGGCATAGTTTAGTTTAGCCATTTCCCTCTAAGAATTCAGAAAAATTAGCTCTTTGATGTTCTCTATGAGAAATTGTAGAAGACTGAATGTCTTGGCAAGTACATATTACAGAGTCAGTACAGCATAATATGCCAGTACATATGACACAGCCTCCTCAGCACTGGCACCTGGGAACTAGAGACGTAGAGTCTAGTTCAGCCATTTCCCTCTAAGAATTCAGAAAAATAATTTAAACTATATATAAACTACGTAGTTTCTATGGACGGAAAAGAGCAGTATTTCTAATAGTTTTTTAATATATATACTACTTTTGTTCCCTTCATCTTTTAATTGTAATTGTTTTATTTGATTGTAAGTCCCTTTCAGTCCCTTTCATGGTGAGGAAAGCAAGCTATAGATCAAATACATTTTAAGTAGTTTATTTAAAATGTTGTATACAGACCACTGCACAAATGGGTGGCAGTGCATCTGCGGGGCTAAATCGAGTTGTCTGTCTTTGCTGCTAACCATAAAACTCTTATTTCTCCTGTTAACATCCTAGGTTGGTTATGACCTTAAGGAAGAGATTGAGCGGAAGTTTGATAAATGGCAGGAACCACCTCCAGTCAAACAAGTGAAACCACTGCCAGCACCTTTGGATGGTCAAAGGAAAAAGCGAGGAGGCCGCAGGTATGGTAATAAAAACAAATACTGCATACATGCTAAGTTTAAAATACATGTTAAGATTTAATTTTAATGATATACAGTAATGCATTTTATTGTTCCAAATCTGTTCTTCTCTATAAACAAGACAGGAGAAGTAGTTTTTAAATACACACCTTTCAAGGCATACATTATAGATTTTCTGAGTAGGGATTGCATCAGAACACTTAGGAACTAGGTTCTACTCTCCATATTAGTTTGGAATGCACAAACCAGGTTAGTTGATGCTGGTATTCACAAAGATCAAGTATCTTTCTTTATATGTTATCAGTGAACTGGTATTCTTTCCCCAGCTGAATCTGCTGACATTCTGATTCCTGGTCCCCAATCATTAGGTTTTGGTATTTTTCTGTTGGTGTTTAAAACTCTTTGGTTTTTTTGTTTAGATATCGTAAGATGAAGGAGCGCCTTGGCCTAACAGAAATTCGGAAGCAGGCAAACCGGATGAGTTTTGGGGAGGTATGGAATCTTTTACAGGATTTCTCTTAGCTTTTGGGAATAAATGGTTGAATAATCTCTGCAAAGAACAGAAATAGAAACCAAGATTTCTGGAATCTGTTCCCCAAACTCATTCTTTTAATTGGTATGATTGGTATGTACCATCTAAATTGTATCTTAAACTGATTCTCACATATTACACAGGAAGGGTAAAAAGAAGCATTCAGAGGTAACGTAGGCTCATGTTCTTGGAAGCTCTTTGTCCACTAGGGTTAAGGGCAATAAAAGGCAAGTGCTTTTGACTGTGATGTGCAATTATAAGGGAATTACAATTCTTCTTGCATGGAAGTATGAGGAGAAGTTACACCAGACTTTGAAGTGACCTTATGAAGGCTGATGCAGTGAGCAGATAATTTGTTGCACCACTGCTGCTTTGAATGACTGTTACATGCTGTGTGCAGTCCCCTCTCTCCTAGGTTTATGAGCTTGCCTTTGACCCAAACGAGACAGCTTTGGGGAGTCTCATCTCACTCCATGGTAGTAGTTTTAGCCATTTTCATGCAAAATTAAGTCATGGGGACATCTGCAGATTTGGACAGAAAGGGGGATTGAAAAAGCAGCATCCTTATCCTCTGTCCCTTCATTGAGTCACTGGCAAAACCATTCATATTATCCTAGTAAGTTCTTTGTCTTGATACTAACAATGCTGAACTTGATCTTTTTTTTCCTCTTTGCACCTCCCTTCCTTTTCTAGATTGAAGAGGATGCTTATCAAGAAGACCTTGGGTTCAGTCTGGGCCACCTGGGCAAATCAGGCAGTGGCCGTGTTCGACAGACACAAGTCAACGAGGCCACGAAGGCACGCATCTCAAAGACACTGCAGGTTAGAAAGTGGGGGTTCTGTGGTTGTGCTGGACCTACAGATTTTGCTCTTTTTTGTCTTCTGGATGGAACAGTAGCTTCTCACAAGGTCCCTAAACATGTGGGCCCTGGTTATTCTCCATGGGTTCTAATGGGTTTAGGAAAGCTCAGCATTTTATTGATATGGCATGGTATCATGTACAGTGTTGCCTCCCACTCTTGCTCAGGAGCTCTTACAAATTCTGCCAGTACCTTTATATTTTACATGGGACAATGCTTGAAGACCGCTGAGGCCTCCAGAGGTTTAGAACCACCTTCTTTAATAAAATTGCTCACTATTGGTTTAGGATAGTAGAAAGTCAGCTTTAATTTGATTTTTACAAAGGGTTTTTCTTTGAGGTGAATATAGGTACACTCGTGTGCTTGTTACAGGAAACAGGATGTACTGCAGCAACTAGAGCTTCCGGGATCCAGAGATGGTGGGATACTTGATGACATTAAATGTTTTTGAACATCTACTAGGGGAAGCTACAACTATATGGGATGACCCCTCAAGGAGTTTAACCCATTCCGTCCTCCCCTCCCCCCTCAACTTGGACTGGCCTTCTTTCCGTATTTTAGCATCACATCAGTCTCTCTCCTGCTTTCTTTACCTGAGCTCTAATGCCTGCATTTTGCATATGTCTTTCCTACCAGCGCACACTCCAGAAGCAAAGCATGGTGTATGGAGGGAAATCAACCATCCGGGACCGCTCCTCAGGCACTGCATCTAGTGTGGCCTTCACTCCGCTGCAGGTAAGGCCATGTCTTGGTTAACATATTTTGTTGCTTTTGATTAGTCTCAGATAGGAGAAGATAAACTTCAATATCACAGGTGGCTTGCTTTGCAGGGTAGAGTAACTGCTACTGGAATTGATTTCTTAAAGGTGAAGGAGCTTACGAACAACTGGGTATAGAGGCTTCTTAGAATTCTGGTAGATTGTATAGGCGTGCACACATTAAATTTGGTGTTTGTGTATAATGTTTGTTTTGCAAGGAAACTGAGAAGTCAGCTGGGTGTCCCCCCCCCCCAATGGTAAGGGAAAAAACTTAATACAAAGGTTTTAGAACCCAGGGTTTATAATGTTACAATGCATACTGTTTTGGTTGTTAATCTAACATTGCTCAAGATATCATTTGATCTAGGATGTAGCATAGGAAGCAATTAAATCCCCCTCCCCCATGTTCTGCTTGGAGTTTTTGATAGGGAGTGCAAGTTGCACATGGAAATGCCTTATTCTGAGCTGTAGCCAGGAAATTCTTAATTGTGGACATGAAATCTGTGTGCAGTCCAGAGTTCAGTATCTTTCCCATGTTCAAGGCACAAAAAGATTTCTTCATATATTTCCTGTTTGACCCCTCTCACCCTTCATTTCCCCATTTTCAGGGTCTGGAGATTGTGAATCCACAGGCAGCTGAGAAGAAGGTAGCTGAAGCCAACCAGAAGTATTTCTCCAGTATGGCTGAATTCTTAAAAGTGAAGAGTGAGAAGAGTGGCATCATGTCCACCTCATAGCATCCCTTTCCTTGCCATGGATGCAGCATCTTTTCATTTGAATAGCTGGAACCACACACATCAAATGCAGGGAGAGAGACCTTTCATTAGAGTTCCAAAGACAGTGTGACCTTTCAGAACGGTACTCTGGCTCTTTCCTGGATTTAAATGGTATCATTTTTGTTTCCTTGAGCAGTATGTGATCTGGAGCCTCCTGTGTTCTCTCTCTGTGTGTGCAACTGCCCAACACAAAAACGTATGGTTTTCTCCCAGAACACACATCATTCAAAATCAGATTAGTTCAGTTGCAAGCTATTTCATGGCATGGACTCTTTCATTTGAATTAATTGTGACATCTATACCATCCTTCTGGATCATTATTTGTATTACTTCCTACTGTTAGATAAGTTAAAGCAAGTTGGTACAAAAAATATCTGTAGATATAAGAAATGCTTTCAGATAGCACCTGAGTGCTGTACTTTCCCCCTGTTAGTTTAGGACTGTTGTGTCAGGTTATGGTGAGCCAAGATAAATTCCAGCAGTAAACAGTACAGGCATCCCCACCCTTTGTGCTACGTTGAACTGCAGACTCCATCAGCAACCAGCTAATGCTTACAGATGAAGAGTGAAAAGCCTGGAATGATGGCCTCCTCTACGTGGCCCCATTTCAAAGAGAAGCCAGGGAAACTGAAATTTTGGAATGTTTTGTACTTGATGATATTCATGGGAAGGGAATCGTTTGAACATGTGGAGAACTGTGATGCCCTTGCATGGAAAAGTGGCGAGTGACAGTTTTAGAAGAGCAGGGATATTGAAGATAAACTGAATTCCATTTCTCAATGAAAAACTGAAGGCTGCCGAGGAGAACAAAGGGTTTTTCCCTCCTGTGTGTCTTACTTTCAGGTGTGTCTGAGAGTTTTTAATGTGATAAGAAGTGCAGATATTAAAATATGACAAACTTTTTCCTATGTAAGAGAATAGTGGAACAACAAAAATGTGATATACAGTACTCCCTGAGTAAAATGCTGTGTCTGTATTTGTGCAAGCATGACCAAGGGTGTATATTAGCAGGGACGGGTGGGGTTTAGGAATAAGGATTGATTGAGTGTAAATTAATCCTGGCCTCAGCTATAGGTAGAGGGCTTGACTTTCTGCTGCCTAAGCTAGAAAGGTAAAACTTCCTAACGAATACAAAAACAAAGAGCCACCAGCCCATTGCTGAGTGGTGGGTAGTGGTTGTTATTTTTTTTGTAAAGTGTATTTCAACAGCTGAAACCTGCGTATTTAAGTTGTAAATTTTGAGGGAAATATAATTTCATTGTACCTCATATGTATAATCTAGGGGTTTTTTATTGTGGAGAGGCGAATTGGAAATGTCTGTCAAGAAATTCTGCATATTTCTTGGCTTAGGAGTCTCTTATAGAGTTACAACGTGGAACTTACTGTATGCCCTTGCATACACTCCTTACCATTTTGTTTTCTAGACAGGGCTTGACCTTCCTCTTTTGGGTATAGAGCATGCAATTCTTTTTAAAGTCACCTTTTTATTTTAAATGAATTTTTAATCAAATGTGTTTATATAACATGACAGTCCAGAGCTGAAATAATGGCAGACCTACCCTATGACCATAAAGCATGTGTTTATATTACTTTGTCGGCCACTACGGTCTGCTTGGGAAAAGATAGTGAAGAAATGGACTGTAGGTCAGATTTTTCACACTTAAGCTGTTCCCCTTTTGAAAACATGAAAGGTGCCACCAACCTGAAGATGATAGCAGAATACTTTAATAAGCTGTATGGGGATGTATCAAAGGCAAGAACATTAAAGTCTTGCCTAAATGAGAGCAAAGGGGAACATACAGTGTTAGAAAAATTCAAGCAGGCCTATAAGGGGTAGAAAAATAAAACAGTAAAAACATCAGGACCCACCACTAACAAATTATTTAAACACATCAAAAGCTAGAAGCTAGCCAGGGAGGTAGGTGCTGAGTAAGAAGCTGACAAAGAAGGTAAAGATATGCCAAAATGGAGCATGAAGAACTGAAGAGTAGAAATGGGGACAAGTTGAGATTCTAAATTAAACATTTCCAGTTCTGAATGGTATCTGTCAAAGTACTTCTAGATTAGCAATTTCAAGTCTACGTTACTGCTAAAACACTTTGTCTCTTAAATTGGCATACATACCAGGTAAATGGAAAGAGCTGGAGTGTCATACAGAAAGATGAAAATCATATAGTAAAATAAAATGTAGCATCTGTAAACTGCTTGGAAACATAAGATACTATAATTTGTTCAATTAGTAGTGAATAAGAGCCTCGTGGCACAATTGTTAAACTACAGCAGTGCAGCCAAAACTTTGCTCATAACTCAGGTTTAATCCCAGGTTGATCCAGCCTCCCATCCTTGCAAGGTTGGTAAACTGAGAACCCAGCTTGCTTGGGGGAAGGGGGCAATATGTAGCCTGCATAATTAAATTTTTAAAGGCCCAGAGTGCTTTAAGCACTGTGGGACAGCATATAAGCAGCATGCTATTTTGCTGAAGAAGCAACATAGCTTTTACAAAAGCAAGTCCTGTTTCACAATGGTAACTCTTTTGAATTGTTAAATGATCCTGGGGTCATTTTGAAGCCTGTTATGGTCCCTACAGGTTGCTGTCCTCTGAAGATGCCAGCCACAGAGACTGGCGAAACGTTAGGAAAAACAACCTTCAGAACATGGCCAAAGAGCCCGAAAAACCCACAACAACCATCCTTACAATTATTTAAACAATTATAGTGTTCAGTAGATGTTAATAGGAATATGTCACAACTAACTTGCATCCTATTAGCTATAGTGTTCTTTCCTAAATATAATGTTCTCTGAATCCCAACTTAATTGGCGTTACATAGTTAGGCTTTCTAAAAGCTTTGCTTACCAATTGCTCCTGAATCAACTAAGCAATCATAGGTGAAAATAACAAGTCACTGTGGTGTTGATCAGTTGATGGATGTGTAACGGGACAACAGCTTTCCAAACGTGTTCATTAATTATCTTGGTTCTAGGTCCTAGAGGCGGGGATGTGGGGCAGGGTTGCTGATAATATTGGCTCAAACATGTATAAAGCAAGGCAGTGATGAGGGTAACAGGTTATATAGTGGGAACACGGCTTTTCATCACAAGGGCAAAGTGATGTATGGGGCAGGACAAAAAGGGTCCCTATTTGCTGGTAGGGCTTGAGTTGCCAGTGAAACTGCCAGAGTGTGGCAGCAGTGGAAAAGGCAGTATTCTGTAGTACCCATGAGCTTATTAAAGTATTCTGCTGTCATCTCAGAACTGCAGAGCTGAAAGGGACCCCATGAATCATGAAGTCCAGCCCCTGTCGAAGAGGCACAGTTGGGAATCAAACTCCCAACCAGATACTCAGTATCTAAGTCACTGAGCTATCCAGCATTTTAGAATAGAAATTTACTGTCTCAAGGTGCAGCAACGGTTGCCAACCTAGGCCCCTTTAAAGAAGCACTTGATAAACAGTGACAGCTAGGACCAACAGGTACTAATTCTGATCGCTGTTTTACCTCCAGTGCCAGAGGAACTATCCTTTAGGGCATTGGTCCCCAACCTTGGGCCTCCAGATGTTCTTGTACTACAACTCCCAGAAGCCTTCACCACCACCTCTACTGGCCAGGATTTCTGGGAGTTGAAGTCCAAAAACATCTGGAGGGCCAAGGTTGGGGACCACTGCTTTAGGGAACTGGTGGTGTGTCCATTCCTTGCTTACAAGTCTCCCGGAAGCCTCCTGGTTGGCCAGTTTGGGCACAGACCGCTGGACTTTCCTCACATTAAATGGAGGGGGGTCGGTGTAGTCCCACCAAAGGCATGCAGGCAAAACTAGACTTAAGTTCATGCTATGAAGATCCAGCTTCATCTAAGCACTCAGAGAATTGAGAGAAATAGCAAGAGACGTGTCTTTTTCAGTGCCCTTGTATTTCTCTCTCTCTCTCCCCCTTCACTGGTGTGAGTATCTCAGAAATCCGCCCTGCATGTCTTTGAAAATATGAAAGAAAATCGTTTGCTCTTTTCAGCCGGGATAAAGCTGCTCTAATAAAAGATGCCTCTTCACATATACAGTATTTCTGTACACGGTGGAATTTGTAAATGCGGCAGGGAGGGAGCCCCACAAACACATTCATTCGTTAATAAGAGCGTTCCTGAGGTAATGCCTGCGCGTGCCCTGGGCCCTAATTCATCGCAGGAGGCCTGAGAGGAGCGCAGGCGCGATAAGTGGCACCCAGGAGGAGCGCGAACAGGAACACTCAGGCGTTCCCTCCCGATCTACCTGGCCGTGAGGTCATGCCCACCGATATTACAGGCTGTCGTGATTTTAAATGACAGGCTACCTGCCCCAATAAGATTCAGCCCCAGGCTCTTCTCACGCCCCGATCCGTGCTCCTTTCCCTGGAAGCGCCTCGAAAACGGTTGGCCAATGCGAAGCCCGCAGGGGGGAGCGTCTTGCTGCAGCTCTCCAATGAGAGGACAACAGGCGCACGCTCGCTTCTCCAGAGCCAATGGAGAAACACGGCCGAGAAGTAAAACGGTGCTGACGCTTATTTTAAGGGGAGCAGCCAAACAGCAAGAGCATTAGATTGAGTGGCGGCCTCGTCATCCAATTATTCGTTTCGTGCTCACGAGGAAAGGAAAAGCCAATGATCGAAGAGTAAAATTGGAGGGACGTTTTCGTTGTCCATCAGGCAATCCGCGAAGACGCAAGGCCCGCCCCCTCAGCTTGTTTTTCACGGAGTGGTAGGCGTGGCCACGGAGAAGACATCTCCGCGGTCTCAGCCAATGAGTATAACCTAATCCTTGGACTGACAGCTCGTCTTGACAAATAAATCCCAAGCAATGATGTAAATGACAGCTGCTAGTGGCCCGCGTCGTCCCGCCTCTATTTCCCTCTGCCAGCCCTTTGCTCATCCCCCAATAGAAATGGCGAGCGTCCTGAGGGGCGGGAGCTTGAACCAATGAACTTCATCGGGAGGCGGTTTGGACTAAAGAGAGGGGGGAGGCTGCCGCCATCTTGGATGCCGCGGCGCCCGAGAGAGGGGGGAGAGGGAAAGAGAGAGAAAGAGAGAGATTGAGACCCGGAGACCCGGAGCCGCCGGTGAGAGAGCGAGGAGGGGTGGGGCCTAGGTTGGGGGCGGGGCCTATAATTACCTTAGGGGGTTCGGTTGGGGGCGTGGCCAATGGGGTCTAGAAGGGGGGTCTCTCTAGGTGTGGGTGTTGTGTAGGGCAAGGAGGTGGTGGTAGGTCTCGTCTCTGGGGTCTGGAGCAGGAAAGGGCCTTTGTGAGGGCCTGGACGTTTCTTGAGGTGGTGATCCCTGGTGAACCTCAAGAAGGCCTGTGGAGAAGGGATGGGGTGGCTCCATAGATGGGATTGGCATCTCTAGGATGTGGGGCCCTCATGGGCCAAAGGAGTGGGATGCAGGAGCGGCCTATGGCATGGCGGGATGTGGGTTCGGGTCTCTCCTGCATGGGCTGCTCTGTGGCAGGGAAAAGGGTTGCCTATCTTGTGATTCCTTAAGAGACTTACACATGCCACCTTTGTTTGGGATGTTGTGGGGCTCCCTTTAGATAGAGTAGTGGTGATGAGACAGTTTGTTTAAATTAGAAGAAATTAAACTGCAAACAATTAACAGTATGTTTTCTATACACAGCATGGCCGGGACAACATATATGTGGGTGTATGATGGACATACATGCATATGTATGTCTGTGGTGCAGGCAGAGGTCTCTAGGAATTCTGTCCCAATGAGGTAGGCAGTGGTTAAAAGATTGGGGTGGAGGACCTGTTCAGATTGTCAGGATGAGGTCCTCTCCAGGCATAAGTAGTTTCAGAGTCATAAGAACTTGCATTATTGAGGAAATGTATAGGTAGCTGGATGTCTAACCAGTGCAGTGCAAAGTTGCACATATTGCTTTATTTTCTTCTTTCCACTAACAAATTTTGTTTTGCTTGACAAGGAATTATTCAGAGGTGTGCTGCATCCTCTTGTCTAAGAAAAGGCCTCCTGGTTCATAGGTTTCAACAGCCATTGCCATACGTTTCACAGCTTAAGGGGCTGCAAACTCCTTTTGTGTCCCTTCCCTTTTAAAGCTGAAATTCCTAAGATGCAGAATGATGAGAGTGGTATGTGCAATGCCAACTTAATATATTTCTCTTATGCTACAGGAATATATACACAGGCTTGAATGATAATATAGAGAGTGATTGGCAGTCTATACTAAGCACAGCAGTTCTGTTGGGGGAAACATCAAGATTAACCCAACTGTCTGGCAAACCAGTTGCTTAACAATTCATAAGATGACCCAGTGAGCTCAGCTTTTTCCCCTCCTTTCCATGTTCTTGTTCCAGGGACAGTGCTTAAAAGTAAGGAACTTTATCCCAGGAATCTGAAAAATGTATTTCACCATATAGTTAGTAGTGATGCTGTTGCGTGACTTGATTATTCGTCAGACACTGGGCCTCAGTTAATTTGAACCTTGTAGTAAAGTGATGGAGAATAAATGTATTCATTTTATACATTTATTCTTAAGTTGGTAGCTTGTTTTTTTCTGTTCAAATGAAAAGTTGTAAGCATCTCACAACTGAAAAGTTATAAAATAAGCACATTATCTAATAAATAACATGAATAAACAAAGGAAGAAACCAAGGGGTTTAAAAAGCACATCTTATTCCTGTAGGACCTGTTGATTTTTTTTTTCAGGAAGTCTTTAGGTGGCACTGAAGCATCCTAGAGATTACTGGATCTCTTGAGAAAGCAAGATCTATATCCTAGGTGCTACTGCAGAGAAGGTCCGTATACACAGTGCCATATACCAAATCTGATGATAGTAGAATATGGAAATGGGTGATGATGAAGGTCATGAAGCCCACAGCTGAGTGCCAATTGGTTAAAGAAGTCTTCCCTGATCTGAATTTCTCCACATATTTTGGCTATGATACCCATCACTCACGACCACCTTACTCTGCTGGAAAGGCTTATGAGAGTTGTGTACTGAAACATGAAGAGACACTCAGAATGAGTAAGACTTTTGTAGGCTCTTTGGTACCTGGCTAAGAAATACCAACTTTTGGGAGAATAATGAGAGTAGCATTGTGAGTTGTCCTCAAAAGTAACTTTTTCTGATACTGAGCCAGGTAAATTAGTTGTCAAGATTTGTTAGAAGGCAGCTTCATCAGATTTGATCGTATGAGTGTAGAGGTCAGGAATGGAATCTGGCGTGCTAGCTTGCCTGACATCGCAGCCGGGGTGGAATATGAATTCCCAGATTGCAAGGACCACCTGAAGTTGTGATAACTTAATAGCAATTATACCTAAATATTGGGAGTGGGGGAAAGAATATTAGTTGATGGTTTGATGGCGGTATTGCACTGGGTGATTGGTAGATGGTTTTCCAGATGGTTATGTTATCAAAGCTCGTGATACAGATGTCAGGGAAACAATATTTTCCCAACATTCAAGCTATAATGGGGGAGAATGGCATTTTTCTCCCAGGCAGTTTGTCAGCTGCGTTTGTGACTTTAGTGTGGAAACTAGCTGTTCAAATGCCATTAATCTTGTGATGTCACTTGTGATGGGCAATGTGTGTGCCACATTCCTGTTCCATGTTTCAGGGAAGCATTTTTGTTGTTGTTGTTGTTCTGAATGATAGAACTGTTTGGGCACTGCACAGGATAATGTTTATCTAGCCCTTCAAAATATTGGGGTTAAAGCCACTAAATATTGGCAGGGCGGTTCTCTTCTTTGTAGCAATAAGGTAAAGGTTCCCCTCGACAATTTTTGTCCAGTCGTGTTCGAGTCTAGGGGGCGGTGCTCATCCCCGTTTCCAAGTCATAGAGCCAGCATTTTGTCCGAAGACAATCTTCTGTGGTCACATGGCCAGTGCGACTTAAACACGGAACGCTGTTAACTTCCTACCGAGGTGGTTCCTATTAATTTACTCGCATTTGCATGCTTTCGAACCGCTAGGTTGGCGGGAGCTGGGACTAGTGACGGTCGCTCACTCCGTCACATGGATTCAATCTTACGACTGCTTGGTCTTCTGACCCTGCAGCACAGGCTTCTGCGGTTTAGCCCACAGCGCCACCACGTCCCTTATCTTTGTAGCAATAGCCTCTCTCTAATATTATGGACTTCCATCTATTTAGTTTGAATTTTCTTTAGATTTCATTTTAACGGTTTGTGTTTCTGTCTCTTTCAGGGTTCCCCTGAGTCGTAAAAAGAAACAGATGAGTCCATTTCCCCTGCTCTTTTGATATTATTATCTTCATATTGCAGGTGTCCAGTGAGGCTGAGAGAAAGCTGTTTTCTTGAGGCTGTTTTCACCTAGTGAGTTTGCAATATAGATGAGATGTGAATCTGGGTTCTCCTGATTTGCCCTGCATTCTCTTCTGCTTAGAAAAATAAGGCTATTGGTACCAGCCAGTCTCACTCTTGAGAGATAGGCTGTGATCACGCATTGACTATTACTAGTGCTTGATAAATATGGCAGAACATACAGATTGGGTGAAGAGAGAATAGTTTGTTCTCTTCCCCCACACATGTTGCCATCTTGGTCTGCAGATGGCACCTTTCAAATTCAGTTCAGGATTGTGTGCCATTCCAACCTTTTGTATTTGTGGTTTTCTCTGCAGCAAGTTCTCCCATCCAAGAGCTGTATCTTTTAGAGATTACATAGAGGGACCTTTGTATATGAATATAGAAAATCATGTAGAAATAAAAATGTGACTGGAGAAAGTGGTGCAGATTGGAGGATCACATGGATAAACGCTGGGATGATGGAGGCTGCTTTCACAGTATGCTAGGAAAGATGTCTCTGAACCCAGAAGCTGTTGCTATATTGGGCAAACTTTTCTAGACATCCACAAGAGCCACTGGCCCTGAGATAGTTCTTGTAAGGCTACATTCCTAACCCAGCACTTGCTGGAAGCAGGCCCCATAGGACAAATTAGGACTGGCATCCTGATCATAAAGCATTTTGCTGCAGTGCAGCCCCACATAGGTCTCTATTTTCTTTCAGACTCCCAAGCGAACCCTGGTCCTTTGCAGAGCGTTTCTGACATGCAGGTTGTATATGAAAGCAAATTGGAAGCAGCTTGGGATGGGTTAAGTAGCTTGATTTGGAGAGGGTAATTGTGGATTCTTTTGAAGAAGAGTAGAACCAGGTTGCTTGGAAGTAAGAGTCGAGAAATAAGTATCTTGATGTGCAACCCAGAAATAAACTTCCAGATATGACGATGATCAACTGAGATATGGTTTTAAAAACAGCTAGATTAAGTTGTAGAAGGTAGGCATCCATGATCTTCCATTGCATTCATTAATTTTCCTGTTTGAATTTGAGGGGTGTCATGGTAGGTTGCACAGCTAGGCAGATGTGGTCCTCCAGCTGTTTATTAGCTGCAACTCCCATACCTCTTCATCACTGGCTGTGCCAGATAGTGGTGATAGGCTTTGTAGCCTAAAACAGTGGTTCTTAACCTTTGTTACTTGGATGCTTTTGAACTGCAACTCCCAGAAACCCCAGTCAGGACAGCTGGTGGTGAAGGCTTCTGGGAGTTGCAGTCCAAAACCCCTGAGTAACCCAAGGTTAAGAACCAGTGACCTAAAACATTTGGAGGGCAAGAGTTGCCTGTCCCTTATTTCTTGTCAAATGTTGGCCTGGGGTATTGATTTGTCCCACTTGTTTGTCTGTTTAACTTTGCAGTCGTAGGTAAGTTTCCACCTCTGTACAGCGTTCCGTCATCCTCATTTACTCTTTTTAAAATAATTGTTATGTTGTGGTCAGTCTAAGGTCCATCTATTCCTACATCCATCTTTCATCAGTGGACAGATGTTATGAATACATCTGGCTTATTTTTTTCCCAATCTGTGTGCTGACTTCTGTGTTTTTTAAATAAACTGTCAAAATTAGCATTCTCAGTAGGTGTTGTCTACCTTTTTTTGAGAATGGTCATCTTGGACGTTGGAGGTGCATACTTGGCCTACCTCATGCAGTTCCCCTCCAAAAGAATGAAGGGGAATCTAAGGTTTTGCATCAGGGAGGTCAATAGCTGCACCCGGAAGAAGATGGGTAACGTAGATTAAACATAAAATCAGATTTTAATTTAAAAACCACTTGGTTTGTTTTTGAGTTTTCTGTATGAGAGAATACACCAGAGTTTTAAAAAAGTGGTGTTGTTTGAGCGAAGATGTTATACATAATGCCACAATAGAGCATCTGCCTATTTAATGTCGTGCAGATCATCTATATTTAGTCTGCAATCTCATTACTCTTATCTTGGGGTAGGCCTCATTGAACTCAATAGGACTTACTTCTGAGAAGTCATACATTGGTTTGCACGGGTATTCTGTTGTCAGATAACGCAGACACAGTTGTGGGGTCTGGGGAAAAATACTGTTCTGTAACTATTGACTACCTCTTTCTTCTGGAAGCTTCTAGTTTCCAAGCGAGTGCTCTTATTTCAGATTCTTAGATGGGCCTAGAGAGTGCCAAGCACAAATCCTTAGTTTCAGGATTATTCCCTGCAAAAGATGATAAATCTGTAGTGCAAATGAGCCCTAGATGAACAGAAAGAGTTTTATGTTCTTGCATAGGATGAACATTCTATGCAGTTACAAGTATGCTTTTTAATTGCTGTAGCAACCAGTTCGCATGTGCTTATTCAGGAAGTCTAAAATGCAATCCAAGCCTACATTTGCTTGGGTGAACGTTGGGTCCCAGCAAGCTAAGTGGTGTGCAAAGCATTGTCGACTTAAAAAGCTGGAAAAGGGATTTAAGTCAGCCCTTTTACATGGTGAGTTAAATCAGTGATTTTCACTGCCTTGGTTTTAATATCAATTTATCTTCATTGAGATTGAAGTATGCACAGATTATTACACAGTAAATAAAGATGCAATGTTCAAAATTGGGGAGTAATTTTCAACCTTCTGCTCTTGGGATCTGTGTAGTTTCTTCAGAATGCTTGTCATGGCTTTCTCTGTAAGAAGACAAAATAAATAGTGGGCACATTTCTCTGAAAGACAGGAAATGTTGGATGTCTTCTGAGTCAGTGGTTCTTCTTCGTGGCCTCTGTGAATCCACACTAATGGGTTAAATCTGCGCTTGTGCAGAGGCCTTGGAATATTCTAGAGCTTAAAGTAACATTTTTGGCTCCTCCCCTCAGGACCTCATGGTCCAACCGCCCTAACAGTTAGCTCAGTTCTTATTTTTCTGCTGCCGAAAGAGGTCTTGTTTCTTAGAGCTCCTTCTCATTCTGTAAACGCAAGTACCCGTTTTCTTTCTCTTTTAGCACCTTTTATAAGAGTTCTTGTTTTTCCTTTTGGTTCTCCATATGTTTTGAGATCTTGATCCAGAGGGCCAAAAGTTGAGAACCACTGTTTCAGATCACGTTCTGAGTCACTGCAGAGGCAGTGGTGAAATCTAACATCCCTGTCAGGGTTCCACTTCAGTCAGTAGCTGTACCTAGAACAGAAGGTAAGTTGTAGGTGGTGGTGGCAGCGGTGGCGGCTGAAGCAGAAGTGGCAGCGGAAGCAGGAATCTTGGGCACGGAGGTGCCTCCAGACCCCACTCTGGATCTGCCTCCAGTCGTGCCCGACCCCGCCACTACCTATAGCTCGGCTGGCCCGCCGCTGCCAGCACCAGCTATTCCGGATCCTGGCCCGCCACCTGTCAGGGTGCTAACACTGCGGCTGCAGCCACCTCCTCAAGTCTGGCTGCTGGGGGTAGCGATCCAGTGACTTGTGGCTCGCATGCCCACAGAGAGGGCTCTGTGTGCCAGCGGTGGCACGCGTGCCATAGGTTTGCCATCACTGGATTATGGCAGCCGTTCAAAATATTAAATTGGATTCGTAAAAATATGTATGTAAGACAATCAGGAACGTGTTTTTTGTGTGAAAGAATTTGTGAATTTGGTTCTAATACGTATTATAGACCTCTCAGTTGTAAGGTATCTACCTTCTTAATTCTTACTCTATGTCTGCCTGTTTGGCTGGCTCTGGTGAGTGGATCTTCATGGTCTAGTAAGAAAATCCAAAAATCTAAATAGAATCTGCAGGCCTTATCCTGCAACAGTGGTACTGAACAGTTGGCCCTTCAGATGTTTTCGACCACAGTGCTTACAATCATGTTATCGACAGCCTTGGTTGGAGTGTTTGGGAAAAGCCCCAAAGATGTAAATAGCCAAACGTTCATTTCCTTCAGTTTAGGTCATGGCCCAGTTTCTTTTGAACATGCAGTGGTTGTTTGAAATATGATGGATTCTTGAGTATAGAAAGCTTGAAAAGCATAGGCCAGGTGTGATTTGAAATAAAGTTCTAAACAGCTGTTCTACTGCAGTGGAAACAAAACACACTACATAAACTACCTGTAACAAGAAAACTGATGGCGGTTCTGGGTTTTTGGGGTTCTTTGGCCATGTTCTGAAGGAAAACTTAACAAAACCATAGAGGGATTCCTCTAATTTACAGCTATTTTATTAAAAGCTGCATTTTTAGTTTTAGATACTAAAATCTATTCTGTTGTTGTGTTGGAGAGCAAACTGCTTCTGTTTTCTTTGCAGGGATTCTCTTAATAAGAAGGGAAACTCTTGTACTTTAAAAATCGGAATATGTGGACGTTGTTGAACTGTAACTCCCATCATCCCTGACAGGTGACTGTGCTGCTAAGGACTGATGGAAATTGTGGTTCCACAACATCTACTGGTGATTCCAGAGGGAATAATGCCCTCCCACCAAGTGCTTCCACAATGATTGTAGTCTTACTATAGGATTCTTACTTTACACAGAGGTGCTGGCCTGTTTTCGTGGGTTTTGAGAAGCTTATGCAGAAATTGCTTGACAGGCAGGAACTGGCAGGTGAGACGTCTTCTGACCTGAACAGAGCCTGCTACCTCCTGAGGGCTGCAGCTGGTGTTAATAGCATGGGAGCCACATCTGGCTAGCAGAAAACACTGCTGTTTCGTTCTCTTCCTTCAGTGGCGTCATGGCCTGGGAGGCCTCTGTTTTCTCTAACTGCAGTAGTAGGATTCTAAATTTGCTCTGAGCCAAAGTAAGAAAACAGAGGTAACAAGTCCTCTCTGCCAGAGAAGACATGGTAGCCCCAAAGCTGCAATGTTACTTTGAGAATTAATTCCCTTTGCACTCAGTAGAGCTGAGTTCTGAGTAGTCATGCATCAAAACAGGCTGTTTATATTCTAGTGGTACTTTGGATTCCGCGTCTTTAAGCTGCTAAAAGGAAATGTTGGAGCTTTCTGTGACTATCCAGAAGCGGGTGGCTGTTGGTCCTGGGTGTCTTTTCGCTGCAGGTGATAAAGGGTGAGGGTGGAGTCCTAGCCTCATGGTTACCTTGGGACTTGTGAGTAGTGTGATCTAACAGATGGCAGGAGAGAAACAGGCAAACCAATACTTGTACATTCCTTGAAAATATAGTATCATTTAAGAAGTTGAAAATGCCTGGGGACATGGAATCTCCTTGTATCTACTATTATAGTAGAAGCACTGATCAAATATGCTATTCTGCTGCCGATGTAAATCACATTTGAAATAGTCCCCTACTTGCTTCTCCCCTATGTTTTATACAAGTAGCTAACTAACACACGAAGGAGCAGATTAGACTAGAACTTGCGTTCCCATGTGCTGCTTTTTTGAATGGCACAAGGGTTTTTAAAAAAATGCATGCACCCTTAAAAAATGGTATTTTACCCCATACCCTGCTGTAAGTTGCTCCAGTTGATACTATCTCAGAATTCTTCCTATTGTTTGTGTATCTGATGATTTCTTCAGTCTCTGGCAAGTGAATGATAAATATAAGAATTTGCTGAGAATTTTAGAAAGAGGATAAGAGTACTGTAGGGACTTTTCCAGTGGTGCAGTTGAATCCATAATATTTGTTGGCTCCATGTACCCAGATGCACCAGTATGTCATTTATTGTGAATCTGCCACCAAAGAAGGGAGGGGGGCACCTGCCTCCTTTGTGGGAGACATTTTTTGTCACCATAAGCAAATAAACCCGCTGCTGTTTACATGACTGTGTTAGTGATGGGTATGATTGCTAGATTTATTCCTAACAATCCTTTTGTGTCTTTCGTAGCGGTGTGACAAGGAGAAATTCTGTATAAAAACTTTTTTCTGGCGCACACAGAGGTAAAAGCTTAGACCCTTGTACTGTTGCTTGGTCAGAAACAGTTAAAGGCACCAAAGCCTTGACAGGAAAAGAAAAGGTGATAATGCTAGCAATGGGAGAGGGTTTCCCAGGCTACGGCAGTTGTATGTTTTGGGATGCTGAGAGATTATCTCTTTCATCCTCTCTGCAATTCTTGTGTTTATCTGTCAGTAAACTTTCTTGTTTCATTCCGTAACAAGGGTCCTGCAATAACAACTCAGTCTATTACCATGTTTTGATAGTTGTCCCTCATGCTTCCCAGCATGTTTTCTGATGTGGTGGGTAGAGTTATTTGGAGGAGAAGGTGGGGCTTTTTCCACCTGCCATTCATGTGCTTTTCTCACCTGCACAGGAATCTGGCTTGAGAGAGGCAGACGACGAGTGCCTAGGGGCCACCAGGTAAGTGGCAGCCTTATACTACCTCTGCCAAAAGGCATCGCCGGGCTCTCTTAGTTAAAGTGACACTACCAGTATCATAGTCTAGAAGTAGTGCTGGCCTCCCTGCTGAACCCTAAGGATTTCCTCTTGCTTTCTGATGTAGGTCCAATTAAGGGCTGCTTTTAGTTGAAGTGTCAGGGAAAGCTCTTCAGATGGGGGGGGAAAGGAAGCTGATGGGGGAAGTTGTTTGGGTTGTGTGATTGTCCAGAAGGCCTGGCCCATGAAAAAAGTAACTTGTGCAACAAAAAAATGAAAAGAAAAAAACTGTGGAATTTATCTTCTGTGGCTTCCTGTTCTGATCACATTGCTTTACAGAGCCATTGAGAGATAAGAGTTTCTCATTTTTAACATCTGATCCACAACTGGCTGATATCAATCATCAGAAGCTGGTTTTTATCTCATCACATTCCTGTTTATTAAAATTGTTAGTACCATATTGTAGAGACTAAGAGGTGGTTGTGGTATGAAGTCAACTGAAAAGACAGCATGCAAGCATCCTGAAGGAGGACAATCCCTTCTCTGAATCTTCTATCTAGGATTATCACTCCTGTCCCTAGCAGGATTCCTGTCTTTATTAGTTGCATGGGAAAAAATCGATCAAGTGTTCCCTATTGTTGCATTGTCTGTATATTGGGGAGAGTTTCACCTGGTGAACACTAGCCTGTCCCACAAGTACTGGGGAAAAATATTCATTTATTGTGCTTGTTTCATCTCTTTTTTTCCTGATAAATCCTGCCACATCATTCTCTTCATGATCCCCTCTGCATATTTCAGATTTTGCATGCCTTAGTTAAGTTTTCAGCATCAATTTTTCAAGGGAAAGAAGCTCCAGAGGTTTGATAAACAGAAAATCAACAGGAGGAGGTTTTTGTAGCATACAGGTGTCATGATTAAAACCCTACCTTTAAATTTCTAGCTGTAGTACAGCTGTTAAAAGTAGAAAGAATCTTCTGTTGAAAAGGGAAAAGATGGCTTCCCTTTTTTCAACATTTATCCTCCTTATCTCCATTTGGCTCCTCTTAGTATGGGGTATCAACTTTGCCTTCTCACTTTTGTTTCTGATTGTTCTTCTTCAAGCGTTGATGCTCTATAAAGTATGAAGAGAGCCTCTCTATAGTGAAGGAAACATGGCAGATAAGAGGAAGTTACAAGGTAAGATAATTCGTTGGAGCTCGGCATTCTGATGTTGTGGGAACTGGGCTTCTTTGGAAGTGAGGGTGGGGCTTTCTAAATTTACATTTTACAGCCAAGACTTATAGGAAAGGATGGAGATCTAGAGGGTTACAGTGGAAGAAATAGGGGGAAGAAGACCTGTATGAAATGGACTTTTCTTAAAATGAAAGTGAAAACCATAGAAACTAGATTCTGGATTCTTTAAGGGAAGAGCAGAACTTCACGAAGGGAAGGAGATGTTGTTTCCTTTTTCCTTGGCTAGAAGGGGAGGCTTAGTACATCAGTCGGGCGAGGGCAGGGGTGGTGGGGGTTGTCTAGCCAGGCTATTTCTGTAATTGCTCTCAACAATTATTCTTCTCTTTCCCCACTTCCCAGGTGAGATTGATCGGTGCTTGAAAAAGGTGTCAGAAGGAGTGGAGCAATTTGAAGATATCTGGCAGAAGGTGAGGGTGGTGCTGTTTTATCCCTCTCTGAGCTCTGACCTGTATTGAGACCGTCCAACCCATACTGGCCTGAGAGGCTGTTATATCGTCCCACGTTAGTTCTTTTTGCTAGGTCTACAGAGGTTTATGTTCCTTTTCTTTTTTAATATATTTTTTTAAATGGGACCCTTTTGACTCCCTACTTTTGCTACCCTCTTTGGATCTTGCCTGCATGTCCATGATACTTTCCCAGACTTTATCAAGTCCCCATTTTCTCTTTTTCTTTCTCTGGCTGTCTGTGCTACAGCTCCACAATGCAGCGAACGCCAACCAGAAGGAGAAATATGAAGCCGATCTGAAAAAAGAGATTAAAAAACTCCAGGTAAGAATGTGCTCAGCTGCTTTCAAGGTTCGTCGCAGTCAGTCCTGGGAGAAGAAGAAAAGAACTGTTTGGCTGTGGGGGGAGGGCCAGAAACCAGGACAGGAGGGTCCTTAAGGACAGTGGTTCCCAACTTTGGGTAGCACAGGTGTTTTTGGACTGCAGTTCCCAGAAGCCTTCACCACCAGCTGTGCTGGCCGGCCTTCTGGGAATTGCAGTTCAAGAACACCTGAGTTAACCAGGGTTGGGAACCACTGCTTTACAGTGGTTCTTAACCTTTGTTACTCGGATGCTTTTGAACTGCAACTCCCAGAAACCCCAATCAGGACAACTGGTGGTGAAGGCTTCTGGGAGTTGCAGTCCAAAACTCCTGAGTAACCCAAGGTTAAGAACCAGTGCTTTAGGAGAACAAAATATAGGAACCTTTGACTCTGTAGATCTTGCTGGTTTTCTGTTGGTTAAGAGCAGACATCCCAGTTTCTAGAAACTCGAAACCCTGCCATTTAAAAGGTGTGTATCTAGTAGCCTTCTTATGAGGTTGGGAGTCAGGATTCCTTAGTTTATTGGAAGAGTTGGAAGGCTGCATTCCTTCAAAGCCTTTTGATGGAGGTATCTAAATGTGTTGTGCTGGATTACAGCTCCCATCATTCTAAGCCATTTTGGCCATTTAAATAGCACTGGGTTGGGGAAGCCTGTGAAAGTGGACCTTCAGAAAACCTTGAATTTCCATAAAAGACAGGATGTGACAGATCGTTATGGGTTCCATTGAGGACAGTGATGTCTGGTTGTTAAAGCACAGAGGGGCTAGCTGCCAAGGTTCCTTCTTCTTGTTGCTACCTGTAGTGACAATTGTATATAATAAGTTACTCACAGCTTGTTCCTTCTGTTTGATTGTTCTGACCACTAGCCTTCGTTACTGTGGGTGGAAATTGAGGAAAGATCTCTTGGCCAACAAATCCTCTTCTGAACTCTTTTCCTATTTCTTCTGCAGAGATTGAGGGACCAGATCAAGACGTGGGTTGCATCCAATGAGATTAAGGACAAAAGGCAGCTAATAGACAACCGGAAACTCATTGAGACGGTAAGTGGGGTGAGAGATCTAGCTGCTGCATATCAGTGCACAGCAAGATGCTCAGTTAATTGGGTATTTCTTTTGGGAAGTTAGTGCTCCACTGAATATGTAAATAGGATATGCTTTATTTCATTTAGTGGGCAACAGTGTTTTTATTCAGTCAGGCTTCTGACAATCAACCTTGCTTTCTGTGGAAGTAATTTTTAAATGGAGAGATGCTTCCTTTTTCTTTAACTGGTGTGATTGCAGATTTTGCTCTGTGCCTTCATTTGTTTTGTTTTAATTGTATTTGTGCTATTTTTGTAATTATGCACCCTAGTCATGGCAGAAAGAATAGAAATTAAATGAATTAATGTTTGTTCTTAGTTTTAGTGACTCACCTAGATAGCTTGTGGTTTTCATACACACACAGGTAGATGTGTGGGTTAAACTTTGCTTAGCTCCTCCCCTAAGATCTTGTAATTGGCTAGAAGGCAGTGTGACTTCATAAAGGTGATCCAGCTGTCCATTACAGACTAGGTACAGGCTGAGTAAGGAAGCAGGTGATTTTGTGGCAAGTCTGTAGGATCCCTTCAGACAGCATGGGATAGATGGTGAGAGCTTGGGCTGCTTACTTTTGGAAGAAGGTTTCTAGAACATTGTCAGATAAGTTTTATTTAGCTCTGAGCTGAGCCTCTTGGATCCTTTAGGAGCTTGATTTTAACAGCTATGTTTGCAAGGGTCAGCATTGAGTCTTGTGTAAGGCCTATACTAAGTTGGCCTTATCTATATCATGTAAAAATTTGCACTCCTGCAAATGTCACAGTTCTCATTTTCTAGTGTGGGAGTATCAAGCCCTGCTACAGTGTGTTCATTGTGGTAGAAAAAAATATACTGATCTGCAATTTACAGTATGAGGGCAAAAAAAATGTACTTGTTGGGTCATTCAAACTGCAGGATTGCTTTATGTGTGGAATGGTTGAATGCATTGACAGCTCTGCATGTGTGCAGTTGGTATTTGCAGCTAACCCCGACTCCTGAGTATGTGATGTGAGGCTAAAGCTAACATTTGTGTCTGTACACGCTGTTCATGCATAATCTGAAAGGCCAGGTAACTCTATAGAAAGGCCTTAGATCTGATTTATGAAGCAGACCGAAATCTAGACTATTTTGCTTTCCTGTAAAAGGTACCATTTTCATTGTGATAGTACCATGTGGACGGTTTTCACAAGTATTTTTTAAAACCCAACATTTTGAAGGTTGTTGCAAAATCAGGTAAAGTTACAAAAATGATTTGGGAACTGAGGTTCTAATTCTGGTTAAGAGTGAAGAGTAGGAAGAAGTTATCAGCCTTTGGTCCTCCACTCTTCTGGACTTTGGACATGCTGACTGGTGCTTCCGATCATTGAAATCCAAAACAGCTGGAGGATGAAAACTACTGGATTAAGAAATCAAGATTCCTAGTTTTTCGGGTGGGGTAGGCAGTAAAGTTCTTAAAAGTTAGAATCCTGGTATTATAAAGTGGGATGTACCACTTCAAATGGCCAGTGGAGGGGAAAGCTGCTTTGAAATTTGTTCAAATCACCATGCTTTAAAAAAGCAACACAACAACAAAGCCATTTGTAAAACTAGCCCAGTCCTATATTGTTGTGCTGATTTTCTGCTGGCTGTTCTTTTAAAGTGGAAAACGTTTAGAAAGAGTTAATCCTTGCTGGAACCTGAGATATGTAGTTCATTGCAACTCTGTTTAGCAGGTGCTACCAGTTTATTCTGTGTTTGGTTTCCAGGCTTGATGTACAAACTATCCCTACTTTTCCATTAGTTACTTTAAAAAAAAAAGAAAGAAAAAATGACTATACTGGATCCTGTTAAGGGGAGGGACACATGGCTGCATTTCTCTGCAGGGCATGTAGGAAGGCTCCTTCTTCTAGCAGCGTAATTAGTTTTTTGTCTGGGACACACAGGAGAGATGGAGCATTTCCATTCTCACAAGCCAGCCCACTGATTTGCTTGCATTGAATTCCTGGTTGCCTTTGGCTTTGTGGATTGTGTTTAAGTAATTCAGATTTAATTCAAAAATAATAGCCCAGTTTCCTGAGATTATCTCATTTCAGAAATCAGCTAGGATTATTTCATGAGTTTAATGTTCTTCATACATTTCAGTTACTACCCCCACCATAATAACTGGGGAATAACTAAGCTTGATTCTTGTGGAGTTTTTGTATCTCTGTGGTTTTAAATCTGTGAGTTGTCTCGAATGCTCACTGGCAAATAATATATGCTAGTGATTTGGATGTCTCTACGGTCCTTGAATTGTTTCCTTGTCCTGTCTCCACGGGTCCCTCTCATCTGTCTTTCCAGCAAATGGAGCGGTTCAAGGTAGTTGAGCGTGAGACCAAGACAAAAGCCTACTCCAAGGAAGGGCTGGGCCTAGCGCAGAAAGTGGATCCGGCCCAGAAGGAAAAAGAGGAAGTTGGGCAATGGTTGACGGTGAGTACAAGGGGGTGGGGCTTGCTCTCCAGTTGGCAACTGGAAGGCGAGAGTGGAACATTTTGTAGAGCTTCTGGAGGCAGTGAAAGTGACGAGGACCTTAAGGGCACAGATTTAAAGTATCTGCTCTTTAGGGGAGTAGAAATAACCAGTTGCCTTATGTGACATAACTAATTTTTGGTTTTAGTCCAGTAACTCTCCTGTAGCAGGTTTGCATTTTAAAGAGAGTGCCCCCAATTAATTGTTTCTGTTGTTTATCACTGGTTATACATACACATGTACATATATATATATATATATAAACATATGTGTGTATGTATGTAACAAACAAATACCATTCTGAGAAATGTTAAACAAATGCATAACTAAAGCACGTTCAAAGCAGTAAGGTACAACATTTAAAAATCGTACTCAGGTCTTTGCCTGCTTGTGGAAGGACAGCAGAGATGGGGCCAGTCTGGCCTCCTGTGGGAGGGAGTTCCAGAGCCTGGGAGCATTTTAAACATTTTTAGCCTTATCTTGTTTCAGAGGGAGAGACCCACAGCCATTAAGACCTCATTTGACATAACATCATAACACTCTTTAGTTCTTTATGAAATCAACAGTCGTACATCAGAAGCAAGCACCCATTTGGTGCCAAGATGAAGCCAGTGTTGGCCCCAACCAGGTTTCCATGGACTAGGGGTGAGGTTGCTATAACCAGAGTGCCACATCTCTTTCATTTCAGCTCCTTAGAGGGGACAGTGGGTTTCAGAGGAGAGCCCTCTCAGCAGGTTATAATGCTTGGGCAGACATGTACAGAGAGAGGTGCTTACTGGTGGAAAATTTTTCTTGATGTGTCTGTTTACCAGGTAGGCTTCTTGAGTGTGTCCATGCACCCCAGAGTCTGACTGAAAAATGATGTATCTCTTTCCCCCTCATCTTCTTTCCATTCTGCCTCCCAGAATACAATAGACACCCTGAACATGCAGGTGGATCAGTTTGAGAGTGAAGTGGAGTCTCTTTCTGTCCAGACGCGCAAGAAGAAAGGAGATAAGGATGTGAGTTGATTAATATACCTTCCCTGGAGATTTTGTGTGTGTGATGTGAGGGAGAACTGAATATGGAGGGATGTGGCTTGGTTTCATGCATTAAAAAGGAGCTGGAGAGCATATATGCAGGAACTGGACTTCTTAGGCAGGATTTGACATCCTGACTAGAGTGAGGAGCAGGATTGCTGTATAGTGGTGGCTCGCTAGACAGTTACCCCGCATAACAGTTTTTTCGCTAGACATTGGCTTTTTGCGATCGCTATAGCGATTTGCAAAACAGTGATTCCTATGGGGGAATTTCGTTGGTCAATGTTTGGTCCCTGCTTCGCAAACCAATTTTTGCTAGACTATGCTTTTGACAGCTCCCTCTGCGCTCACAAACAGGTGTTTGCAGGACTAAGCTTTGCAAGACAGTGATTTAAACAGCTGATCGGCGGTTTGCAAAGCAGCTTTCCTATGGCCGATCTTCGCTAGACAACAACGATTCTTCCCCATTGGAACACATTAAACAGGTTTCAATGCATTCCAATGGGGAAATGCTTTTCGCTAGACAATGATTTCGCTAAACAGCAATTTCAGTGGAACGGATTATCATCGTCTAGCGAGGCACCACTGTTACTAGAGAAAAGCTGAAGATACGGTGCATTGGCAACTGCTGCGTTCAGCACTGGGTACTTTGCAAAAGGCAATTTAGGTGTCACTTCTGTGTGGTTGGGTTAAAAAGAAGGGTGTCGTTTTAAACAGAGTCCAGAGTCTGCAGTTATCTGGATTGCACAACTCATCTTGTCTCAAAAGCATGGGGATGGGTAACATTAGGAAATTTACGCACACAAATGGACTGTAGTGGCAGGTTCTCGAAAGAGGAAAACATTTGGAGGTGGTGGAGCAGGCACTGAAACTCTTGATTCCCTCATGTTTTCTTTGACCTAGCTCAGTGCACAGATTATACTGGGGTAGTAGCAGGCTTTTGTCCAGTTTTGAATGTATCGTGGGGCATAAAGGAAAAAGTGGTTTGCGTTAAGCTCAAAATGTTGCACATGTATAAGACTGTTCTGCAGTGAAATGATTTCCAGACTGGTGGGGTTGAGGATTTAGAAGTCAGAACCATTGGCACAAGTTTATTTACTAATCCTATGTCCCACCCATCTTCCTGAAAAAAGTTTGAGGTACAATAGGACCCTCTTATCTGTGAGGTTCGGTTTCCAAATGGAAATCCATTGAAAATAATGCCTTGGTTTACATCTTTTGTTTGTTTGTTTCCGTTTACAAACAAATTTCCCCCAGGATGCATAGTGTCTGGAGGGTTATAGCACCATCCCTGTTCCTATGGCAATCCGCGTTACGGTTTACAAATTTTGTTACTTTACATAATGTCCCATAGAATGCATTAATTTTGTAAACTGAGGTACTGTACTTTTCTCTCTCTCTGTTTAAAAAAAAAACTGAAGTTACCAAAACTGGCCACTAGAGGGAGCCAGAGAGTCTACTATGTATAATGTTGGCCATTATAATTGCTTTTGGTGTAACCCACATTTTTTTCAGCATCCATCGGTGTGGGCCTTGGAACTGATCCCCCTTGGATATGGGGTCCCACTGTATCTTACACTGTTTTCCTTACATCATTTTCTGTCTGCTCTTCCTCTTGAGAAACTGTGTAGTGTAATGTTTAGAGCATTGCCCTGGAGCTTTGGAAAAACATGTTCTGGATCTTGGCTAAGCTATGGAACTGACTGGGTGAAGTTGGGCTAGTTACTTTTTCATCCCCTGACCAACCTCACAGGGGTCTTACAACAAGAAAAGTGAGGAGGAGGAGAACTATATAGACTACCTTAGGTTCACTGGAGGAAAGGCATGATATAAATGTAATTAGTAATAATAGTAGTTGTCATTGTCATAATTGCAGTGTCTACAAGGAAAGTTAGGTTGTGAGAAAGAGTGGCTCAAAGTGAGTTTCATGGCAAGACAGGGATTTGAACCAGAGTCTCTCCAACTCTAGTCTGGCACTTTTAACAGAAGTGGATTATTTATCTATTTAATTTATTTAACTTACCTTTGTCTATCTCCTGCCTCTCCACACTCACACAGAAGCAAGACCGGATAGAGGGTCTAAAGCGGCACATTGAGAAGCATCGATACCACATCCGGATGCTGGAGACAATTTTGCGTATGTTGGACAATGACTCTATTAATGTGGACTCCATCCGCAAAATCAAAGATGATGTGGAGTACTATGTGGATTCCTCACAAGACCCCGACTTTGAAGAGAATGAGTTCCTTTATGATGACCTCGACTTAGAAGACATTCGTAAGTGTTGCTGGGGCTGCGTGAATTGCTTTTGATTGGAGAGGTGTGCTTGGGACAGAAATAGATTTGGGCCTCTGGAGGCTTGTTCCTGGAGGCGGCAGCACTGCTGTCCCTGGGAGGGGTCAAGTGTACTAGTTTTTCCGTAATCATGAGCTCAAACTACAGGAAGCTGTATTTAGGCTGAATATCAGGAAAAACTTAACTGTTAGAGCAGTATGACAATGGAACCAATTATGCTGGAGGCATTCAAATTGGACAAGCATCTGTCAGATCTGCTTTGATTTGCATTGCTACATTGAGCAGGGGGTTGGACCTAATGGCCTTGAAGGCCGCTTCCAACTCCATTATTCCATGGTTCTGTGATTCCCTTCCAAGGAAACTTGTGGTCCAAGACATTTTCATCAGTTAAGAGGACAGCCTTTCCCTTGCTAAGCACCTGCATACAAAAGTCACCTGCTGTATTTATTGGGCAAGTTCTGCCTCACAGTTGTGGCCATGGATTTTGTACTAGATGAGAGTCTTGCGATGGTTCATTGTACCTTACTATTGCCAGGTAATGTGTGAGAGGCAGTGTGGTGCAGTGGATAGAGTGACTCGGACTCAGGAGGGTTGCTGTAAGTCAGATGTGAGTGGCTGGCATGTAAAAATAACAGCATGGCTACTGTTCTGTTTCACTGCTTTGAAGTATAGATGTTCTATTAAAGCTGTGTTGATATTAGAGAACTTAATCTAGGCATCAAGTTTTCCCTTACTTTTATTCCTAAGAATCTGGCTTTCAGGGATGTCTTAATCTTAGAACAGCAAAGCTGGAAGGGAACCTATGTATCATTGAGTCTGGCTCCTGTCAAGGCAGCACAGTGGGGAATTGAACTCTCAGCCTCTGACTGAGAGATATTTTCTGTGACTTAGTTTTCAGCCAGATGCCTAAACTACTGAGCAAATAAGTGTTTTTAAAGTGTCACCGCAGCAAATTTTCCCAGATGTCAAAATCTAGTTAGCAGTCAGTTCAGAGGGTCTTTTCTAGCTGGAACTGGCAAACAGATACTGACCTTAAAGCCCTTACTTTGATCATGCTGTGTAAGCACCACAAAGATGGAAAAAGTACTCTTTTTTTGCCACAGCTCCCAGAATATCTGTACCAATATAGATGATGGCCAGGGTATTCTGGGAGTTGTAGTCCAAAAATAATTGTTCTCTCCTCTGATTACTCTGTCACTGAGTTGAGTTGATAATTGCTTGTTTCCTGATTCATTATCTTCTCCCTATTCTTGGCCCTGCAGCACAGGCCCTTGTAGCCACTTCCCCGCCCAGTCATAGCCACATGGAGGATGAGATGTTCAACCAGTCCAGCAGTACGCCCACATCCACCACATCCAGCTCCCCGATCCCTCCCAGTCCTGCAAACTGCACAACGGTAAGGAATCTTTAGTTGGGAACCTTTTCAGCTTATGGGAAGATGAACAAATCACATTCGGTACTTAGATTGGGGTGTTCTTCAAGAGAGGAGGTTGCAGCCCAGCTTACATGCTTATTCTGAAATACCCCTTCTCTTCCAGCAGTACTTACTTGAAACTTTCTCCTTTTAGGAGAACTCTGAAGATGATAAGAAGCGGGGAAGGTCAACAGACAGTGAAGTAAGCCAAGTGAGTTTGGAGCACTGGTCTTTTGGGGAGGAACGTGGCTTCTTGGGGCAAGTAAAGTTAGGACTTGGGTGGAGGGGTGGGAAACACTGAAATTATTTGGTTATAGTCATTTATAGGGTGTTATTTCCAGTATAGTCCTTCTGTGGGGACTGTAGCTCTTTGAGGATGCATGCAGGAGCGTTGCTTGTTTTGCAGGCAACATCTTCTAAATTCCCTTGCATTGTGTGTTGGTTTTCTGTGAGATGGTGCTATTTTATAAGAGGGCTATATCCCATTAAGCTTGATAAGTTTGAATTCTTTCTTTTAGGAAATAGAGGCAGGAATTGTGATCAGGGAGTTATTTGTCCTCTTGGATAGTGGGAAATAACAAGCCTAAACCTTCTTTTCCTCCCTCTGTTCTTCCCAGTCGCCTGCGAAGAATGGTTCAAAAAGCCTCCACAACAACCACCACCAGCTGCCTCCCACCATCCCACCCAGCTACCCGATGGGCAGCAGTTCCAGCACCTCCTCTTCACTGGGCAACGGGCCTGGCTCCAACAGCAACGGCGCCGTGGCTGGCAGTGGGAACGCAAGCAGCAAAGCTAACCCTCCGGCAGGGCATGCACCCACCACCCCGACTCCTTACGCCCAGGCTGTGGCACCCCCGCCCACCAGCACCAATGCCTCCCAGCCCCGGCCTCCCAGCACCCAGCAGAACGCCAGCAAGCAGAACGGGGCAACCAGTGAGTCTGTGCCAGGGTTGGGCTCCAGGAGAGTGGGTGGCTGTCATTTCAGGTTCTGCCAGAGACTCTTGGGGTGTAGGAATTGCTCTGGTCTCTAAAGAAGATGCTTGTAGCCCTGTGAACCTGTCTTTACAGATTCTTGATATAAAGTCTGCTTTTACAGTAAGTAGAGCTAGAACTTGGAAACGTTGCTTTTTTTTTTAGTAGACAACCCCCAGAATCCCCTAACCAGCAGTGGCTTTGACTGTGTTGGTATTTGGGGGGCTCTGGGAACCACCATCCCAAAAAGAAGATTGTCTAAGGTTAGAGTTCAGCATTGGAGAGGTCCATATTAGTGTTCTAGGACTACAGCTGCCTGGAAGGTCCTGGGAGTTGTAATCTAAAAACATAAATCTAAATACAGCTCTCATCAGTGTTAGAAAGAGTTCTTCCTTAGAGGATGGAACTGACTCAGTGATGGAGCATTTGCTTCACATTCAGTAAGTCCCTGATTCAGTTTCTTGCCTCTCCAGTTAAAAACCAGTATAAGTAACAGAAGGTGAGAAACCCTGCAGAAGTTTTACCGGCCAAAACGAGCCTTTGCTAGCTAGGACAGGGTCGGTGGCCTGACCTGGCACAAGGCCAGCTCCTGCACTACACAAAGACAGGCTCTTTCCCTGGGGCTGTTACCGACTGAGGTTTTAAGGTGAGGAGGGTCTGCCTTTGTGAGCAACGGCAGATGCATTTAAATTTCATTTAGAGTTAGTGGTAGACCAAAAATACATTTTCCAAGGGAGCTTGAAGAAAGCAAGAGGTGGTTTGGATGAATGGGTGGGTCTGAGATTTTCCAGGTGTGAAGAAACCATAGGGAGAGAGGGCAATTCTTTTTTTTAAGTTATTTGATTTTTATTTTTATTTTTTGGAAAAAAAATCATCCTTAAGCTCTGTATTTGGAGAAGAGGGGAAAAGGAGAACCATGCAGAATTTTTGACATAAATAATGATTTGACAGGATTTTCCTCCCTTGGGTAGTGATTATGGCTGCTCCAGACACTTAAGGACTGGCCTGCTTTTTTGGGCCCCTGAGGCAACCAGAGGGTTCCACAGGTGTGCCTTTCCCCCTCATATTCTTGCAGGGATGGGGAAAAATGCACCTGCTGCATCTTCAGTCTCAGGTCTTAAAGGGACAGGACCCCTATTATGGATGGAACTGGATGTTGCCTTAGAGGTGCCAATCCTTCCCTGTGTTTCTCTGACCTGGTTTTCTTCTTTATACTCATGGGTCCCTCAAGCTTCCTGTGAGCATAAGCTCTTCTTGGGCTCGGTATAAATGCAGAACAACAGCCAAAAGTTCTGTTCCAAGAACTCATTCGTTCTCAGTGTTAATGCCATTGTCTGCGCTTATCTTACCTCTTCAACCTGGGCTTTTTGGCAGTGGATTGATCCACAGAAAGCTACCCTGGTCAGTGCCTTGAAAAGTTTCACCAACAAACTCTTGCCCATCAAGCTGCCAATAAATATACCAGAACAGGACAGGATGTTTTATGCATAGTTTTGTGGTTAGTCTTGATTGTAATGCCAGGAGAGGCAGATAGTGTTTCATGGGTTGGGCGGGGAAGGAGACTGTTCAGCACAACACTCGAGCCAAAGGTTTCATCTCTTCTGTCTCCTGTCCAGGCTATAGCTCTGTGGTCGCGGACAGCAGTTCAGAATCGACACTAAGCAGCGGCAGCCAGTCTTTGCCCAACCAGACGGCATCGCACAACCCGCCCAGCGCTTCCACGTGAGTTTCTTCTCCATTTCCTTCCAAAATGCGATCTTTTCTCTTCCGCTCCCAACGCACATTTTTCTTCAAGCCCTTGAAGTCTGACCCGACAACGTCATTTGTTACCTCTCCTAATCCTGGACTCAGCTGGTCCTTGAGTGTCGGTAGGAAAGATTCTGTTCCCCCAGAGTTGCTTTTGCAGGAATCACACAGAATGAGCCTTGTAATAGAGACAACCTGTGACACCTTTGTTTTGCTTCCAAGCCACACAGGCCAAAAAAGTACCTTCTCCCTTCCAATCTAGAAGTAACTAGAAGTCCTTTTCTAGTTCCCCAAAATACCTGTTTCTTCATGTCAAATGGTACAAGGTGGGGGTTTGATCTTTGTAAAAGCTTTCTGAGAGTTGCAATTCATCCCGTTTTACCAGAAAAAGGCAGGGATGCAGGAGGGGCGGTACAACCACTTGTGGCCTCAGGCTCACACTTTGCCCATCCCCACTTCAAAATTTGACTTCTTAAAACTTGTTTTCCTGCATCGATTGGGGGTTGGACTCGATGGCCTTATAGGCCCTTTCCAACTTCACTATTCTGTGATTCTCTGAAAATGTTAGCTAGAGCTCCTGCACCACTGTTGGCTCCCTTCATATCTTATGGGAAAAAATCGAATGGGTGGTGGAATGGGTTGCATATGGAGACCAGGCTGCAGCATTCAAGGCCAAGCCTGCTTTCCTCACAAACCTGCCTGTCATCTTTTCCTCCCAGGAAAGAGCCCAGTGCAGCTCCTCAGCCACCGAGTGCTGGCAACAGCACTGGATCCAGCCTCCTGGTGCCTCTGACTGCCAACCCTCCTGCCTCGCCGACACCCAGCTTCTCGGACAGCAAGCCGGCCCAAGCGCTTCTGAATGGGCCACCCCAGTTCAGCTCCACACCAGAGATCAAGGTGAGAAGGGTGCCTCGCCACTTCCTGTGCCACACAGATAACAGACCGGTTCCAGTCTTGCCAATCCACTGAGATGCAAAATACTTTGATTTTCTTGTCTTTCATAAGCCCATCCATGCCTTCCTGTAAGGAACATATGTCAGTAGATTATATGGCTATGTTTCTCCCATGGCATCCTCTATGTAAGGTGCATTGGCCTGAGAAATGGTGACTGACCAATTTTCCAGCAAACTCAGATCAGTCTCATTTCTATAATGGAATTAGAAAACAGCTGTCCTGTGCTCCCTTTCCTATGGTTTTGTCTCTTGCTCTGCAGGCACCTGAGCCTCTAAGTACGTTGAAGTCAATGGCTGAGAGGGCAGCTATCAGCTCTAGCATAGAAGACCCAGTGCCATCTCTTCATCTTGCTGAAAGGGGTAAGTGGAAGGAGAGCTACTCTGTGAAGCTGGCCAATCAGAGTGAGACCCGAGAATTCCTCTGTAAAACAGCTCTATAGTTCCAGTTCTTATCCAGGCCCCGTAATATTTTTTAGGGAACCTCTTTCAGCCTAAGGACCAAATTCAGTTACAGGTGGCCATCCCATGTGGAAGAAAAGCAGAAATTTAAATTAGTCTGAATCAGAGAAGTTTCTAGTTGGCGTCCTTTTAGCCTATAGTTCAAAAAGCAACATGGCACTTTTTTTTGAACTAAGCTTCGCATTATCAGTAGAACAAGGTGTTCTGTGAGGCTGTGCTTCTGTTCAGGAGGAGGAATATTTTGGGGGAATATTTTTTTCTTTCTACTTGGTTTCTTCCCTTGGTTTCTTCCCTTGTAAAGTTTTATTACTGTTCAGGAGGAGGAATATTTTTTGGGAAGGCATAGCAGGTTTTAAGTTCTGGTTTTAATGTTCGGAGAACAGAACTGTAATCTGTCGCTGCTGTTGAGAGATTAAAAGCAAGCCCAATTATTCTGAATGGATCTAGTTTTTTATTGTGACAATGAGGTGGACAAGAGACTTTGAGAGGAGGCAAAAGGTGTGTTGTAGAAAATATATTCTAGAGCAGAGTAACTTCAGTGGTATCCTGGGAGCAGGCAGAGCGTGAGAAAGTTACTATTTTGACCTCAGCTCCATTGACAAAGGTGGCTGCAGCATCCAGGGAGCTGTAGGTCAAATAATAATATTTTCCATCTCTGAGGATGGGTGTTAAGGCACCTGAATGCTGAATGGTATTTTCCCCCTTCTTTCCACTCCAGCTGATATCTTAATTACTAGCACGACCTCCCAGCCAGCCTCTAACCAGCCCCCCATCCAGCTATCTGAGGTGAACATCCCCCTTTCTCTTGGGGTGTGCCCGCTGGGGCCTGTGCCTCTCACCAAGGAGCAGCTCTACCAACAGGCCATGGAGGAGGCAGCTTGGCACCACATGCCTCACCCCTCCGATTCAGAAAGAATCCGGTAAGGAAGGAGAGGTGGGTTGTTCCGGGTTGGTGGGAAGAGCCTTGCGTAGGCAGCTGACCAAAAAAGCTTGGTGCCCTCCAGGAAAAGGCAGTCCATTGTACATTCAAGTTAAAACTTGTGTTCAGAGTTTGGACATCTGATTTCTCAGAACTTTTAAAACTTTGATCCCACTTTTGTTATAATACGGCTCAAAGTCTTGGTCCATAAAAAGCACCACAAAAGGTTTGGCAAACTGCTGCTTCTCATCTGAGCACAACATGTTAAAGCTGATTTGACATCTTGCATATGGACCACCTTGAAGAGGAATTTTTAAGGGTGTTGGGAAGTCAAATGGAGTCTTTCTAGCAAGGGTTGAGTAGTTTGGTCAGGACCCTTTTATCCAGTCCTGCTGGACTTAAAAAAAAAAGACATGCAGCTTAGGTATTCCTGTTCTCCCACTTGCCCTAATTATCCTTATCAACAAGTGGTATTTCTTTTCCTCTGGCTTGACCCCTAAAATCCTGGCCTGCTTGTGTCTCAGGCAAGACTCACTTATGCTTTTTTGAAATAGGTTTCAGCCAGTTGTGAAGAGAAGGATGTTAGGCAAATCAGCATTTTTAAAAATGCACAATTGTAACGGTCGCCTCTTACTGAGAGCTCAGCAATATGTTATGACCAAATACCTGGTGCCCCTTAGTCATGGGAAGGGCGCTTTGTCCTGTATGCACACATGGGGTGGAAGAACATTCCACCATCAGGGAACCAAGGTGCTTTCACTTTCTTGCAAACCTTATTCTTGCTTTTCCTTTCCTTACCCCACCACTCACCATCTTACAGGCAATACCTTCCTCGGAACCCTTGCCCAACTCCTCCGTACCACCACCAGATGCCTCCACCACACTCCGATACCGTGGAGTTCTACCAGCGCCTCTCCACAGAGACACTTTTCTTCATCTTCTACTATCTGGAGGTAATACATTGAAATACAAATGCATTTTGGGTCACACTGGAGCAATATCATGCCCTCCCTGCCTCTTTTCCCCTCCTGGGCCGACACTCGGGGGGCCATGTGCTCCCTCCCCCCCCCCGATATTCTCTCAGATGCTCCCAACTTTTCTGTCTCTTCCCACTTTGAAGGGCACGAAGGCACAATACCTGGCAGCAAAGGCGCTGAAAAAGCAGTCGTGGCGCTTCCACACAAAGTACATGATGTGGTTCCAGCGGCACGAAGAACCCAAGACCATCACGGATGAGTTTGAGCAGGTGAGGGAGATGACGACTGCAGAAGTTCTTAGTCTATCAGGATGAGGCAGAGCCAGCAGAATTTCAATCCTCATGTGTTGAGTTCATAGAAAAAAATGTGCAGAAGAAGTGTGTGTGTGGGGGGGAGACTGCAGTTCTGTGGGTCCTCTTATTTGGTACGGGAGAAAGAAAGAGTATGCTTAACCGTTCTTATCCTGCTGGAAAGATGGAGACTTTTCTTCTTGGTCCGGTTATCACCCTGTGGCAAATGCAGAGTGGTTTACGATAGGTCTTACTTGGCATAGCAACATTACCTCAAGTTTGCCTTTCTAGTAAATAAAAAACAGTGGAGGTTGTTGGGACCTGTTGTTGGTGCCATATTTCACAAAGAATCGTTGACTGCCTAATCATTATACCTCACATTGCTAAAAGGGAGGGTGTCCTGCATACAGTGGTGCCCCGCTTGATGATGACCTCGCTTGATGACAAAATCGCTTAACGATGAGTTTTTTGCAATTGCTTTGCTTTTGCTTTGGAAACTGATTTTTTGCTTAACGACTATTTCAAAACGGCTGATTGGCGGTTCGCAATATTGCTCACCGCTGTTTTGCTGATCTATTTTCGCTATACGGACATCAGAAAACGGCCACCCTATGGAGGCTCTTCGCAGGGGGATCAGGTATGTCCCCCATTGGAACGCATTGACCGGTTTTCAATGCATTCCAATGCTTTTTTTCCGCTTGACGACGATTTCGCTGTACAGTGATTTTGCTGGAACGCATTATCGTTGTCCAGTGGGGCACCACTGTACTTCTGCTTGTCCTGTGCCCCCCATCACAGCTGAGGTGGCTTTTCTCTCCCCTTATTCCTAACAAATGTCTGGTTAGGTGCCCCACATGCCCAGTGCATGATGGACAGGTGTTTGTCCACTCTTCTTGATCAGTGGTGTTGAGCTCTGCATTGATAATTAGCATTGCCATTAATGTGTTAGTTCTGATTTCCCTATTCAGGCAAAAAGGTAACTTTCCCACATATACTTCTGCTTCTGTTTCCGCCCAGGGCACTTACATCTACTTTGACTATGAGAAATGGGGCCAGCGCAAAAAGGAGGGTTTCACGTTTGAATACCGCTACCTGGAAGACCGGGACCTGCAGTGATGCCCTGGGGCCAGCAGGGGGTGCCAAGCCTTCCTTCCAGAGACAGCTGCGGTGCGGCAAAGGAAGACCAGCTAATAATCCCTCACCTCACTCCATCTTCCCCCCTCCTACACATCACAACCCTAGGGGGGAAGGGGTGAGCCGCACGTTTAAAAAAATGCATGCAAGTTTTAAAGTGACCGCGGGACGGAGGAGGGGCAGCAGCAATGGGATTCTCCTCTGCCTTTTCCTTGCTCTCTCTGCCTGTCATGTGTACGAAGAGGTCAGAAACAAATGGGGAAATATCCCTTCGTGTGCACCAGGTTCGGGTGAGAGAGGAGAGATTAAAAATAATAATAATTTGAGAATCCTGCCAAAAGAGTGACTTACCCCATCTCCATTTTTGTGTGTATCCTGTATCAAAAGAAGCCAAGCCCTTACCCACTGCAGCAAATTCAAGACATCCTTTTTCCAGCCCTCTCTACAACTTGTTAGGGCGGGCATCACACACCCTGTTTTGCTAACATCATATCCCTCAGCCTTGAGAGCACAGGGCCTCCAAAATATCCCTTTCGCTGCTGGAAATGTCTCGTGATGATGTTTCTCAAACCCTGGCCCATTTGTCACTGCTGGAAATGGCGAAACAACAAATAATGAAATAAATACAATTGGAGCGCCAGCCTGAAGAGGGCCATCTGCAAGAAAATATTTTGATCAACTGGCACTAGTTTAAGAGCTGCCATAATTTTCGCCATGTTTTATGAGGATAGGTCATGTCCACTGGCCTTCCTCATACATTGGCTTGAAAGATTCCTGAAATTTCTTTTCCCAACTGGAACTTCGACATATAATCTACTGACCCACCAGCTGCTGCTTCTCTCCTCCTTTCTGACCCTTTCCAAAATCCCATTGCCACCCTAAAATTTGGTATGAGCTCGTATCTAATCCGCTGCTCCTCCCACAGAGAGACCTTCTCCCTTGATGACTTGCAATTTATTCCTGATTGGAGGGGAAAGATTTGGGGAAACCCAGGGAGGTGGGAAGACTGTGTTCCTTCCATCTCCCCATCCATCCCCCTGAACTGGAGCACCCCACCCACGCCGCTGTTAAGATATTTTTTCGTAAGCCTATTTTCGTTTTGGAAAATATTTATGAATAAATAGTTTTATATGAGTGTTCTTCTTCTCTTGTGGAGAAAAGGGAAACAAGATATTAAAACTCCACCCAGGGTGGAATAAAGGAATTTAACTTGTATTGCATATGAGAGAGGCCAAGTACTACAATTCAAGATAGCAGTCTGATAATTAAGGTGAACAGTATCACACTGTAGGGCTCCTTAGATAGTCTGGCTACGCTTCATTATGCACAGCAGGTTGGCATGCAGTATGAAGACAGCATCCTGCATAATATTGCTCTGGTCCATGGGGTCACAAGTTGGGCACGACTTAACAACAAAAATGTACCACTTTTATAGTCCACCCCGTGAACACTGCTGCCACAGTTTCAAACAAACTTGAAAGCAGAGGGACTAGAAACACACTCTTAAATTTTTGGATGGAATATTTCTGTGCCTTTCCTGGACTCCTACTGAACTACAATAGTACTTCCTTCATCCAGTGCTGCTGTTCTAATGAGGGGCACGGGTATTGTTTTTTGCCAAGTTCAGTGGCTAAATTATAGTTGATGGAAACCACTTCTGGTTGAAACCCTGCTGCATACTTTAAAAGGGGCAAACTGCTACAGCCAGAACATATGTGGCTGGCCAGGTTCTACAGGAGACATTTAGCAGGCTGTGAAGGTGGGGAAGGATATTTGGCTTGGATGAGCATGTTTAGTATGGTAGCAGCACCCAACTCTCTTAATGGGAATGGCGGCCTTTGTGTCAGCTACAAGCAACATGTGCCAGATTAGAATGATGAGCAGCTATATTCAGTCCAAAAGCCACTGGAATTCTAGATAATGGAAGAGCTATAAAGGGTTTTTATTTGCTTTAGTTGGTCTGTTAATATGCATTAACACACAGGCTATATTTCATTTCTATGACTTCAGGCGATTATCTCCATATTTTGTGAGTCTTTGTTACTTTTCATATCACATGTTTTGCCTTGCATAATGCTGCCTATGCAGATACAATAGTAACACCTCCTGAAATCTATGACTTCATAGTTGCAGCTTTGAATATATCCTATTCCACTGCTTGCAGGTAGTTTAAAAACATTTTCATTCTAATTGTGTTTTGGAAAGTCATGCTGAAGATGGAGAAAATCCAATCCTGCACAGCAGCACGTTTGGCAAAGGAAGGAAGCTGCTCTTGACCTGCTCCCAACTTGCTAGTAACAGATGATTGTGTCAAGTGACTTCAGCAGACATAACCACATGGAAATTCTTCTCAATAACCACATTCTTCCCAACTGCAGTCTTCTAACAACCTTTCTCATGGTATTCCAACTATCACACCTCTCCGCATCTCACACACATATCTTGTTTGGACCTTTAACATACAGTATTAACTGGTTTAACACCAAGCTTGCAGGCCAGAGCAGGTATAAACAGCCCCTTGTTTCAGCTATTCCATATTTCATGGCAAAAAGCTACTCTTGCTGTTCTCTTGAGGCTTCTGGAGGACAACATGGAAACAAAGCAAGTCTGTTATTTGCATAATCAAATCGACACCTGTATGCTGCTCAGTGAAAACTCATGAGGTATCTTTCTTCTTTAACTTCTTTGAGAATGGAGGTAAGTGGGCCCTTGGAGCGAAGTACAGAGCCAGAATTCATAAGCTATCAACACCAACCTGTAATACATGAACACCTGGCATTCATTTTTACAACAAAAAACTTGGTTTATCCAGCCCAAGGCAGATTATCCCTGACGTATTCCCTTGACTAGAGTTAATAAGGTGAGTGTGTAGTATTAAAGTCCACCCAAAGCAAACCTTCAGCACTGTTCTGCTTTCAGTAGATAATGTAATAATGCCACATGTTGTGCTGGACTGCGGCCCAGTTTCAGCGTAAGAAAAAGCTGACTTCATTCCACTCTCGCCAAGGTGCAAGAAGGGATAAAGCACACTCATGTCTCTTTCTCTCCCATCCCAAAATGAGTTGTTGCAGTTTTTTCACCACCTCACTGGGGGTCCCAGACCCTCTTCCTTGCTAGCTGGGGGTTGAACTGGGAGTTGTAACTACGTTTTCGTTCATCAACTTCCTCTTCTTCCTGCCTGGATTGGAGAGTCCCAGCTCTCTGAGCCAAAAGAGACTCGGCACGGGCTCGTTCTGCGTGCTCACGCTGCAAACGCTCCTGGCGCAGCTGCTCTAGAGCGGATGAAGACGGTGAAGGCATGGCCCTGTGGAAAGGTCGGGGGGTTGGAGAAGGGAGAAACACAGAGCATTCAAGGAAGCTAAAGAGGTTGTATAGTCTTTAGCCTAGCCAGAGCAAGCTAGAAACATACCCAGACCAGACACTTTTTTCAAAGCTAACAATTGCATTCTCCAGTCCTCTGCTCACTAGTGCCAACTTCTCTGCAGCTACTGGTTGGGGAGCTGACCCTTTAAAATGGGGGAGCAAAGTGTGGCTGTACAAATGGAGGGTTGAAACTCCTGCATTTTTCAGGAGCTAGGACACACGGGAGTTGCAGTTCAACAAATCCTGGAGGACTACAATATGCCCACCTCTGCTTGAAACTTAAGGAATAGATGCAAACTTGCTGCTAGGAGACCTGCTTTGTTAAAAGATCCAGAATTTAATGATTGTCATCTCTGGTTAAAAAGGCTTTAACTATGAGGTGATGAAAAGGACCTTGATGGGATTGGTACGCATACAGTCTGGCTGCCCGTAAAACAGTTCCCGAGTATATAATTCTAGCAACAGATATTTCACAAACTGACAATGTAGTGACTTCTAAAAATTAATTGTATTAATTATAACAATTATATTCCTTTCATCCGAAGGTGGCACCACATAGGGATTCCAGAAAGTTGTGGTGACCTATGCCAGGTTTAGAACTTTTAAGCCTCAACAAGGCTATGGGAGTTCAGATATCCTGGAGGCTGAGCCTTTGTACACGTGCACCTCTACAAAATGCATTCATCCCCACAAGGAATCGGGTAAATCCACCAGATGCACAAGTTGGACCACTTTTATATGGTCCTCCTTTCCAAGCTAGGGCTGGTAGTTTATTTCCTTAAATGCCCAGGCTCAACTAGCTCAGCTGAGTGTCAGGGGGAGGATATAGTTAGCATCTCACTCTGATGTTCTGACCTCATCGGCAAGAAGGTAAAGATCTATGTCCATCTACACACCTGACTGCTGTGCTGCCTTTCTCCTTATGCTTCCCCTCTACCTTCTCCTTGTGGGACCCTTTCTTCTTCCGCAGGTGCTTTTCCATCTCGGCCAATGGATCCAGTTTATCTTTCAGCTTCTCATCCTTGGCAACAGCTTTACCACGTTCTGGCATTTGCTGGTACCAGGGGCGACAGTTCTGAGCTTCTGCTGCACTCTGGCCCAAGTAAGTGAGGATCCCCACAGCTTTTTCCTGCCGCTCCTAGGAGGTGTAAGAGAACCCAGAGTAAGTAACCCTCCTATGCAGGGTTAACATCACTCCTGGAAGAAGCGCTCCCTGTTAAATTACTTGTTATCTGTGATTTACTTCAACCTCTGCACTACCTTTACAAAGCTCAGAGCAGATTCTAGTAGGCTGCTACCAAGACACATCAGTACCATGGCTTGGAAGAATTACTTTTCAAGATTGCAGTTCCCAGAATTCTCCAGCCAGCCATGGCCCTAATGCATCTGCCCATCTCATGCTTGGATTCCATATCAACAATGCCCATGCTCCTTGACTGTTCACCAAATCTCAGTGCTGAATCTGTAAGTCAGAATCCTATTGTGGATTTATGCCTGAGTAAATATAATGGTATAAGCCATCACTAATCAAGTTACTGCTTGCATTTCTGGTCATGCCACTACAAATATGAACAGCTAATTGTTAATTAGATGCAATTTGCTACCACAATTCATGCTATTACAATTATGTTGGCACAAATCTATGAAAGGATTATAATCCTTTTTTTTCCTCTTTCAGTAAGTGAATTACAATCCACTAACAGATTTATTGATCAGTCTCCACTGAATGTGTGAAAAGAAAATTTCAATTTGTACCACCCTAACAGTAGGATAGGGTAGTTCGTTAAAAGGTAATTGATTTGCATTATCATAAGTAAACATTCTTCCTTTACAAGGCATATAATTATTCAATTCAGCTTGAGAAGCCTCAACAAATTTTCAAGGAGCACTCCTGTGGGGGCTAGAAATAAAGGGCAAAAGTCTAGATTTTGTGCAGGGAAAAAAGCACTGGTTTTAAACAAAACACCAAACCAACTGTCACAAACATCTGATAGAGTGGCACAGACAGATATTGCAAAAATCCCTGAATGGTTATGCTAATAGCCCTCCATGTTTTGATCTTGTGCCACCAGAAGCTAAGAACAATAATTGACCAGCTTGTACACAATCTTTAAGTTTATCTTCTGCAGAGGTAGCACAGTGGGTTTCATAATGCTCAGTCCAGTTAGAGCCATCTGGCCCACAAGATTTGCAGCTTATAAGAAAGCCTTCCCATTCTTCTGACAGCCACCTCACCTTCTCTTGCCTCTTCTCTTCCTCATATTCTTTGTTGCCACTCTCTTGCAACTCTTGAAAGAGGTTCAGATGGCGTGAAGGCTCTTCTGAATCTAAAGGGACAAGGTCTGTGTTGCTAGCATCCCTTCCTGAAGCTGACAGACGTGCTTTCTTCCGCAGGAATTCAGTCCGAGCCTAGAATCACAGAATGGCATTGGATCCAAGAAGTACTTTCCCACCCTTATCACCTCCTTACCTACATCACTTCAACAGGTTTACACACATTTCTGATCTATGACAACTCTGTATCTCCTGTTTCTCAATTTTTCAGTCTCTTGCATTATTCCCTACAAACCTGAAAGGTTGAAATAAAGAACTCTGAATAATTTTGAAAGACAGAATGTCAAAGGATGAAGCTGTTGCCAAGGAGAGACTATAGACCCAGGATGTGAAAATTATAATATGCCATTTATTCCAGAACAACCCTTGCCATACTATATTTATTTATAGTATGGAATAAAGTGCCTACTACAGTTTTCATGTCCTCGGACTATAGTCTCTCCTCGCCTACAGCATTGCTGGGTGGACCAGAATTGTTACCAATTCTAACTGAAGCTTGAGCAGATGAATTGACCTAAACATCTTTTTTAGAGTAAGAAAAACCACAATCTTTGGAAGGCACTCTTGTCTTCCTTCTCTAGTAGAGAACTAACATGGTGTAATGGAAGAGCTTGCTGAAGTTACTTTGCTGCACTACAACTCTCAGTGCCCAAGCAGGGCAGCTGAAGGATTTATATGAAGCTGAACCCAACCGAGTAACTTTGCTAAGCATTCTCCACCTTCCCTCCCCACTTTTGACCGAGATACATATTAACAGGACACCATATACACAAATAGTGCCGTTAATTTTTAAACCCAAAAACAATTTTATTTGTGGGAGAATTTTGGAGAAGCTAAAAGCGGACGACGGGAAAATTCTAGTTATAAACATATAACTAGTTATAGAGCTGGAATTTCTCCATTAAGCCTCCTCAAAACACTCTCTAAAGTTATGGAAGGAACTGGAACACGTTCCAAACGCCACAGAAGCGCCCGTAACGCAAAACGTTCTCCCTCGCCACAGCCTAGAGATAAAGCGCATGCGCAAGACCTTCTTTTGTCGCTGGGCCTCGGCTTCGGCTTCGTCCTTCCGCACCTTGGCCACATTGTCCTTGTTCCTCACATGCCACGATTTCTTGGGAAGGATATTCATCTTAGCTGAAACTCCTCCTTCTTTTAGAAGCCTGCCTTGCCACTCCTTCACTCTTCGTTTCCGAGATCACCGTCTCGTTTCCCATTGGTGTAATGTAGCCCCGCCCTTTGCTTCTCTTTGGACGAGGAACCTGCCAACTTTGTACGTGCTTTTACGTCATCACGCATACGCCCTAAGAAGGCTGGGGGTTGATAGCATTGCGTGTAGTCATAGCAACGTTAGAAATGCAAAGTCTTCTGACATTTTCCTCTCCAGAATTTATTTTTATCCTTTGTTCATCAAATTGTACTTCTGAGTAATAGTTAAAATGTATTACTCTCGGCCATTGCTTCTCATGGTGTAAGATAATATTAAATTTCATAAAGTTCACATCATTTACATTTCTTAAAGGTTTTTCCCCAAATTAATACATTAAATAACACAGTAAAATTATATACCAGATACTCGTTTACTTATTACATATTATATAACTTTTTCACATAACCATCATTATATTCCCAAGCACAGACGCAATTGCTCCAAACCCACAAACCAGTTGCAGCTTACCAGGAACAAATAAATAGATGCATTTTTCATAGCATTCAATGTATTGAGCAAGAGGCAAACTCAGCATTTGCTTTCCATGGATGAAAAATCTTTATTCCTAGAAGTGCCTCCACCACCTTCCATGGGTCTCTGTTTAGTTCTCAATGTGGCCTGCTCACTCTCTCAGCAGGTAACATCTTCTCCCTGCTGAAGGGGAGGGAAATGAGGAAGCCTGCTTCCACCAATGTTTTTACGCACTTAAAGGGGCTTCAGTCTACCAGTGGTTCCCACCCTCAGATCCCCACCTGTTCTTGGAACTACAACTTCCAGAAGCCTTCACCACTAGCTGTGCTGGCCAGGATTTCTGGGAGCTGTGGCCCAAGAACATCTGGGGACACAAGATTGGAAACCACTGGTTTAGATCAAAGGTTTTCACCACTCACATTTATAAAGCACCGTTTCCTTAATGGAAGAAATTAAAAGAAAATATTGGAGAGGGGGTAGTTCTCCCGTAACCTTCTGAAGAATTCTTGCTCAAACCCATTACATTTAGTCTGTATCTAATTTCTCCCCAAATTAATATAATTAATACAGTATAATATAAGCCCTTCTTTTGGGCTGTACACTAACTGTTAAAAAGATTGTCAGTTAACTGATTGGATCTGCATGCATTTCGATACAAGGAAAAACCCAATGATGCTAGTGTAAAAATAACAGTTAATTTGCTTTTAGTTGTTACATACATGTCACAGGAAGTATAAGGATCTTGAAAGAGACAAAGAAATACTCCTGTGTACTGGATGGTGTTTTTTAAAATAATAATTATATTAAAATTGGGCTACACTCAGCGGTAGTCGTACCTACGCAGAACTCAATGAATCATAAGGTAATTATAACAAACAAGAACTATTCATTTGAATGCTGTCACTCTATGTAGGACTGCCACTTAGCCTGATATAGCTAAAATAATACTTAAAAATTAAAATCCACTGAACTCTGTTTAATTAGCATTAGAAACCAAACAAAATAAACAATTCTACCAGGTGTTGTTTATCTCTTTCATATGATACTTTGGTATCACTTCATCAAATTTTTAGTAATATACAGTTTTCAAAAGTATGGGAACCATATAAGTGCCTGCACCTGCCAATTGAAATAGAAAGGTTCTTTGCAAATTAGAAATGGGAAATAAAAGTAATAACTGGTAATAACTAAAAAAAAGCAAAGTGTGCTGCTTATATACTGCCCCATAGCGCTTCAAGCACTCTCTGGGCGGTTTACAAGTTAGTTATGCAGGCTACACATTGCCCCACCCCCAGTGATCTGGGTACTCATTTTACTGACCTCGGAAGGATAGAAGGCTGAGTCAACCTTGAGCCGGCTACCTGAGATTGAATCCCGGGTCATGAGCACAGTTTTGGCTGCAGTACAGCAGTTTAACCACTGCGCCACGAGGCTCCTAATAACTATTATTTATATACATTGTGATGCTGGAGGAGACTCTTGAGAGTCCCCTGGACTGCAAAGAGAACAAACCTATCCATTTTGAAGGAAATCAACCCTGAGTGCTCACTGGAAGGACAGATCCTGAAGCTGAGGCTCCAATACTTTGGCCATTGGAAGACAGGAGGGCCTGGTGTGCTCTGGTCCATGGGGTCACGAACTTAATGACTAAACAACAACAATTTACTGTATATACATATTAAAACAGTCCATTATATTAGCTTGTTAATCCTTAAAAAAACAGTATTTCCTAATTCAGGGGAGTTTACTTCTAACACATCTGCAGAGCACCAGTGTGGCTTTTTACAGCTGCCTGGCAAAGTAAACAAAGCTAAGGTTTAGCCAAAGTCGAAGAAGTGTACAAAGAGAAATATTATAAAGGAAAGCTACAACCCAGAGGTACCAACTTCAGTATAAAGGTCTAGGAAAAACAGAGGATATTCTTGCTCTTGAGGACAATAAAAATACATTTATTAGCAAATTTGTCTGAAGACTCTTTTGACGGAATTTTGAGAGAGATGGGTTAAGAGGAGGAGGAACAGGAAACATACATGCAGTGAGGTCTTGAAAATTCTTTCCGATGAGAAGATGAAACATCTTGTTATACACTTCCTCTTGTTTCATTGGCTCAACTCAGAGATCTGTTTCACTAGAAAGAGTTTGTCTTGGCCCTCCTAAGTGAAAGAGACAGAAAGACAAAGCTGAAAGCAACCGGGAATAGTTCTCTCATTATGCAAAGAGTCTTCACTAGCCAGGTGGTCTCTATTGTTCCCAGGGTAATAAGAGTTGTAATCCAGCATAGGGGAGGGTTAGAGAAAGCTGCTGCTGGCCAGATCAATGCTATCTCTCATCTTGTTTCGCTACCCCCTCCTTTTATCTGCAATAAGGGAAAGAATATGATTCTTCCAGCTGTTTCTACAAGTAGGTTCACCAGGCACAGTCTCACTTTTTCTGGCATCAGGTGAAGACCTCTGCGTGTCCCCGGGGCTTTAAAAATAATCTAAAGAGTTTTAATATTTAGCAGTTCCTGATTTACAAGTGCTGGCTTTAGTTAATCAACTTGTATTGCAGTTAGTTTTTCTTCTGTCTGATATGTTGAGTGTTTTATGATGTTTAATTTTTATTGTTAACAGCCCTCAGGACATAGTTAATTGGTATAAAAATGTTGTAGATAAATAACTAGTGAACAGTAATACTTTTGAAAATATGAATGTGTATGTGGTTCACTAAAAGGTATCGTCCACATGACCTTTGTTCTTTCTGGACTATATAAGATACCATTAATGGTCATGTGCAGCACCATCTACAAGATGGTGTGGACTCTAAACACCAGCCACATGGATGCTTTACATTAGCCAGAGGTGACTGCAACCTGAAGAGACATCTCCTTGTACTCACCAGGTAAAAACATTAGTTTGATTAATTTGGTACAATTAGCTGCATCTACCTGGTGAAAAACAACAACTTATAACCCCTAACTTGTGCTAGACTAGAGGCTGCTATGTGTCTATGCTGTTTCTCTCCAATTCCATGAGCCAGAAAGAAAAACCTCCATTTTTCAAGCAGGCAATGTGAGGAGCAATAATCTCAGAGCAATCTTTTGGTTTTAAGAGCAGGGGTGTAAAAATTCCAGCCAGATTACAAAGTCTGCTCAAGACAGTGGCCTCAAGAGAACTTATATCACTTTTCACAGACAAGCGCCGTTAATTTCTGGACTTTTGCCTGCAATTTTTCTGCACTACCCATGAGGGAATTGTGCTAAGCCTGAAGAAGTGATATTTTGTCCACAAAAGCTTGTGATTTTAAAAAAAATTGTGGTCCAATAAAAAGTATCACCCACGCTTACATTTATGTTCCTTTGTTCATCTTTTCTGCTTGCCATTTGTTCATCCTAAACCGAGCCAATCCTGGAGTTGGATTTTCATCACCCACCATCCCTCTGTACCCACATTCTTCAATGATGTCCCTTACAAAGCACTCACCAGATGGAGTTGCCCTTTAAAGCCTTTCACCATGGAGCTGTAGGAATCAGCCAGAGCCTTGAGGTAGAACATGAGGATGCTAGGATGAGAGGAGGCAAAAGAAAGGATATAAGAGAAGAGGTAGATTTAAGAGCATAGTGCTAATGCTGTATTCCATTTCCCTAGAGGCAGAACTTTGGGGACAGAAGTCCTGTTTCTCCTTCTTACTCTCCATGCTATCAACCAGAGCTTTGGAAACCGTTTGAACAACATATCCCAGAATTCCCATCCACTGTAGACATCAGGAGGTTCTGGGAGTCATAGTCCAACAGTTAAGCTTTGTTCTGAACCTCAGCAAAGTAGCATCCAGTTCAGAAACCGAATTCCTTCTTACCTTAGGAGGAGGAACAAGGGTACAGCAAATGCCAAAGAGCCCAAAAATTCCAGGAAATCCTGAGCGCGGTGGGGTAATTCTGACACAGCACTGATGACAGAATTCCACATGGCGGATTCACCCTGGAATGGACCGCAGGCTTTGGAAGGGGGCAAGCTGTGGGAGAAACCTGGGATGAGATTGAAATACTGGTAATGGGAAGAGGAGGAAGGAAATGAATATATTTGTGTATTTATAAACATATACAGCCCACTGCTGCATCTCTGTATTCCCCAAGAGATGGTTACAAATAAAATATTACTGAAAAAAGAGGGCAGGAGGCTTTCTCAACCACAACTTTTGTGCCTTTATTAATCTGTGAATGCGGTGGACATTTTTCAAACAGCAAAAGCAGGTGTTAAAAGTACAGAATCCCTTCTTGAAGATACACAGACAGCATTTTTCTTCTAGCAGCATCTCATAAAAAATATATTGCTCCAATTGGGCTGTTTCTCTTGAAAATCCTCACACTCAGCCTGAAGTTAGCCTCGATTTAGAATTCTATACATTTGGAGCTAGACAGGGCCATTTGTTCATGCAGACTTGATGTCTAACACCCTTCTCCAACCTGCCAACCTTCAAAGATATTAGATGACAACTCGCTGTTTGGATCGTCCAATATATATGGAAGGCACCCAATTGAGGAAGGTTAATGTATAACATCCCTCTTGAATATCTCAGATTTGTACAGTACTTTATTTTCTGTGGAGATGTCCTTAATGTAATTAAATAAATGTGCTAGACATTTTCCTGCAGCTGTGTCTTATACATGCTGCACATGACTACAAGAGGTTAACAAGAATAGAATCCTCCTTACATACTTACTTTCTTTAGCTGAAGAAACAGTAAGACAACCATCTGTCAGATATTCTTTGATTTGTATTCCTGCCCTGAGTAGGGAGTTGGACTTGATGGCCTTATAGGCCCCTTCTAACTCCATTATTCAATGGTAGATATATACGAACATGTGAATCAGCTTTATATAGTCACAGAGCCTTTGTCCTTCTCGCAGAACAGCACTGGCTCTCCAAGGCTTCAAGGGGAGTGAGGTCTTGACAGCCTCGTGACCTAGTTTTTTAAACTAAAGATTCCAGGGGCAGAACCTATACTTTCTTTGTGACAAGCATGTGTTCTGCTTTTTTTTCCTCTAGCAGTCAAAAATCAATGTGTGTGATGCCTTCCTCTGGCCTTAATTTATTTACAGAGCAGCCAGCTCTTTTTTCATTTCACACTTCTGCCTTTGTGTGTGATGGATTGCCTTGGTCCTTGATGGTTCTTTAGTTTTTGAAAAATGTGCATGGTCTTCTACTATGAGATGCAGAGGCAGCACTTTGGCACAAATGAGCAGTACGTACTTGGAGACAAGTTGCCTTGAGGATTAAATACTACGGCAACACCTGTCAGAAGAAGTAGCTCTATTTCCCCCCAGCTATATTGGGGGTGGGGGAGAAAGAGGTCATTATACTTACACAAACATGCTGTATAGTGCAGGGACACATGAAATAATCAGGCCCAGAAGCAAAACCAAGAGAAAGAAGAAGTTGGAGCTGGAGGCACGAAAGGTCCGTTCTGCTGGACAGCAGTTGGCAAACAGGGTTAGCTAGGACAAAGTGGGAAAACATTCACAATGTCAAGAACCCAGACTTCTGTCCTCCTTTCTTCTTGAACTTCTTCAACATAGTTAAAGAAATGTCAAATAAATTCATCATAACAGTTTCAGTCAATGACTTGATTAGGTTAAAAAGTACAAAATAAAGCATTAAGCATACTTTATGTCTTCTTAAGAAACAGACTTTATTAGGAACATTAAACTTATTCTGTGTGAAAGCAAGGGTCATCTTAGAAGGTGGAAAGGGAGAATGACATTTTTATAGCAATTGCTGCTTTTCAGCCACAGCAACTGCTTTACTTGCTGATTAATCCCGGGTTGGGGGGCACTGTCACAGTCAATCACAAGTGCTCTAACTAATTAATCTAACCTAAAAGTTAAACACTGGAACCTCATTTTAACTATCCAGAAGTGGCAAGAGATAAGGTAACAGGGGCTTCGCCTTCCTCCCCCCTTGCCAACTCTGTTTTCCTGGCCCTTCTCAGCCTGTTGGACGTAATCAAGGTTCCAGGCACCGCAAGTAGGAGATGGATGAATCACAAGTCGGGAAACCAAATTTATTTATTTATTTTATTTTATTTTATTTATATCCCGCCTATCTGGTCGGATTAGGACCACTCTAGGTGGCTAGAATGGTCAGAAGAAGCTAGGACTGCCTTCTCCCTGGCCACACGGAGACAGCCAATTGTGTATGAACCTTCTCCAACTTTCAGCCTCACATCCAGAGATTCTGTGGCAGATCTAACCATGAAGAAAGGTTTACTTGAGTTTTTTAAAAAAATCTAATTATTTCTGAATTAGACTCTCCCCCAAATTAAGACTCCTCCACTCTGCTTCCACCTGGTAATTATGCACCAGGACTACCTTCTCAGCTGTGTTTTCTTTCAGTGCTAGCTCCTTCCCACAGTCACCTTTTTCAGGTAGAAGACAGCAATAAATTTGATGGTGTTAAGTACAGGGAGTAGGGGGCAGAAAAGAGCCCCGGTCCAGCAAAGGGTTTGTCCATAAACCAGATCCAGGACGTTGTAGGGCACTAGGAATTCCTGTTGCCCCCACCATTTGAAGAAGAGGCATGAGGGATAGGAAGTAACTAACATCCTAGAAAGAAGCAGATGTTTATTTAAAAGAAAGAAAGAAAGAAAAAACATGAGTCAAGGTGAAATGCATGAATTGTTCTGCCTTAAGAGTGAAACAGACTCACTGATCTTTAGAATCTTTTTACAGAACCATTTTACAATTTAATATGAAATGGAATTAATAACCATACGAAGTGGACAGAATACAGTAGTGTTTCTGGAGTAAGCTGCTACTGCTGATGCCAAGCTACACACATGCACCCGCCATCCACCACACCTGCCTAACTCCATACCTTCTCCCCCTGACTCCATCAGCAAAATCCCACCAAGCCAAATCACTTAATACTATTCAGGGAACTATCTTATGACGCAAGTAATATAACACAGGTGATATTTAAAAAACTTACTTTCTTGGAAACTCCACAAACAACATAACAAGGAGCATGGTAAGCAAGTCAAAGATCATCAGCTTGTACATCTCCTGCCCCACGGAGGTCTCCCAGCACTAAAGGGATACAAAGGCTAATTTCAGATCCTTCCTGAAACACGTCATATTGCAACTTCCATCGGGTTTTTTTTCCTGTCCCAGGGCTTTCCAAAAATAAACCAGGAATCCATTGTTGCTATCTCCCCTTTCTCTAATCTACCAAAGCTTTTCTTGTCACCGAATCTGACCCCACTCTAGAACACCATTCCAAAGCCTGGAAAAGTTATTTTTAAAATTACAACTTCCAGAATTGTCCCGACGGCAAGACGTAGTGATGGGGCATTCTGGAAGTTTTTGCTGGAGTTTTTACAACCTCTCATGCTGCCTGTGGTTGAAGGGACTGGGAGGGACTTCTCTGGGGTGGGGTGACTGTCAATCTATCCAGCACTAACCAATTCTTCCCTCCCGCCTCTGAATTCCAAGAGAGCCCCGCCTCTCTTCTGAGAGTTCTCTTTCTTTAGGCTGTTGGAAGCAGTCTGTTAGTTTGCTGTTAGTCTGTTCTCAACTGTAAGTAAACATTTTTATGCTTTCTCTTACAAATGTCTAAGGTGAGTTATTGAGATCTCAAGTACCAGTTAGTGAGAAAGGAGTGGACTGTCTGGGAAACTTGAAGCTATTCTCCTCTGTGAATCTCTGTACTTCTACTGTGTAACAAAAGGGAATTTAATCAAAAATTCAAAACTCTGCAACACTTTTAAGCCCCCAAAAGCTCTAACCTTTATTTGAGAAAAGAGAAGGCTTACTAGAGGCCTTGAGGAGCCCCAAAAAACATTCTCCTAAGCTCTAACCTTTATTCGATAAAAGAGAAGGCTTACTAGAGGCCTTGAGGTAGCTAAGCTTCTGTTAAGAGTACCAAGACCTAGTCTCAATTTAGCCTATTTCACTCTTCAACCACAGAATCCAAGTGTCCTTTTTTTTCTTTCAAACCTCTAGCTCCTTTCTAAACTCACCGGGTGAAGGTGGTTATTGTAGCCACAGTTCTGACACTCTGAATTCCGTGGGTCCCCACTGCAGGTGATCTGGGCCCAAAGTGAGACAAGGATAACCACTAAGCTTGCCATACGGAGGAAAACATTCCTGTCAGACAGAAATGTAGACATTCAGCATAGCCAACTGATGATGAAATTAAAAACAATATCACTATGTTGCCAAGCCTGTTCCTTGGACAGCAAATTAAAATACAGAAATGAATTAGTTACGATTTTCTCAGCATGGACATACATATGGACTAATTTCTGTTGGGGCGGGGGGAGAGAACGAAATTAAAAACTGCAGGACAAAAATTTATTAGCATAGCAGATGTGCATGCAGAAAGTCCTGGGTTTAATCCCGTAGCTGCTAAGTTTTAGTCCCCTTAACAAGAATTCAAGAAAGATCTCTTAAAAAGGATAAAAAAAGAAACTAGAACCTTATAATTAAATCCAAGGAAGGCAACAACAGCTGAAATCATGTTTGCTTAGTGTAGTAAGTCATAACCAGAGTAAGGCCACTGAATATGTGGGGCTTTAGTGATTCAACTCCTCCATAAGTTCCATTGATTCAATGGGTCTACTTGAGTTGCAACTTACTGTTCTAAGCACCAGGACTTAGCCATGGGATCTCAAGATGTGAAAAACTGCTGATTTAATAAAGTAAAAAAAAAAAAATAGTTTTACATTGTGGGCCTCTTCTTGCACATAAAAAGTTAGCGAGAAAAAAACATGCTCTGACTCACAAAGGCAAAAGATTTATGAAGGGCTCCTATTCTATGACTTGATAGTCATTAATCTAGTCAGCACCTAACTATAACAAACTGAAAATAATTTAGAAACTACAGAAATCAGGACAGGCTGCCCGATGAAAGAGAACTGATAAGGCCTTCGTACAAAGGGCCCTCACTGTATAGTTTCCTTAGCAGAATAGTACATCATGCCCTTCTTGTCATGCATAACTGAACCGTACAGTAATTTCCGCAAAAGAGAAAGAAAGAAAAGAAAAAAGAATGTGTGTGTAGACTGGGCACCTCAAGCACCAAGCAATGTCTTTTACCTGATAAGTGTGATTTTGATTTCAAAACTGAGAGGGTATTTCTCTTGTTTAACAATGACCTCAAAGATTATGGGGACAATAAGATTGGCAGTTGTGATGACAACAGACGGGAGATAGGCTACAAGTAGCTCCAAGAAATATTGACCTTTGACTGGAGAGTCTGACTGTAAAAAAAGAGAAAGAAAGATTAATTGTTTTTGAAGAAGTAGACGTGTTAAACTGTGCAAGCATATCAGATAAATTGGTTATTTTTTTCTTGTCTGATATAAAGATTAATTTGGCAAAATCAGTGTAGCAAGAAAGGCAATTGGCCATGTCGGTTTCAGAAAGCGATGGGAGTGAGATGGAGGAGTACAGGAGACATGGAGCTTCTTATTTATCTCATTTTGTTTTTATTTAACATTGTTTTGTTTTGACTCGTATATCATCTTTCTTCCATAACTGGGAATGAAAGACACCTCACAAGATTAAAAACAGTACAGATGGGGGGGAAGTTATGATATTTAACTACAATTAAACAAAATGAAACAAAAAAAAATACATGTTAATTTTTGTTAAAAATTAACCCGATTGAAGAAATATATATTTATTTATTATTATTTATTTATTTATTATTTAGTTATTTATTTATATCCCACCCATCTGGTAAATTTATACCACTCTGAGTGGCATATAATGCCTAGCTCCTTAAAATGAATCAATAAATTAAGTGCCTTTATCTTTCAAGACAATGTGCAGACTTCATGTCTAAAGGTGATTGTTAATTCCAACTAAAATAGCCCTGTTGAATCAATGGGACTTTGGTCAGTCAAAAATGATGAACACCACACTGATGCAGCAAATCTACTCTTGTTGGAACGAACAACGGCATTTCAGTCCACACCTTGAAAGTGGAGTCTTCCCTCACTTTGCTCCCCTTCCTCCTACTCAGTTTTTGTAACAGCTTGCCCAGTGAGGCCATTTAGTAGTCTTAAAGGTTTGTATGCATTTTTTTTTCTGCCTTTTTTGTTGCCCTAACAAATTGTCCCGGTATAGATTTTGGAATTGTTTGATAGCCACCACTCCATTTGTAGGCAGAACCTCAATTGGCTGGTGATTGGTGAAATTTCTGTATGTGGTGTAGCTTGGAAAAAGTACTGTACAATTGAAGGTAACTGTCACAAGAATCTTAACCCAGTTTTTCAGCACTTTGACTGCCAGTCCTGACAATATAACATCTAATCTCATGTCAAGCAAGGTGCTCCTTCTGTAACACGGTTGACCAAAGTATGGGGAAGGTAAGGTTGCATGAGTAAACTGAGGGTCATTTCCTTACATCTCCCAACAGCCACTGGGAATAGTCTGTTGCCCGATAGATGCAATAAAAGGATCCTCCCAGCAGTGCCAAAACCAGAATATTAAGCAGGCCTCGGAGGGTGTAGAGACACACTTGCTGTGCTGTGGTCTGTTCTGCCTGGGACTTGCGGAATGCTGCCTCCTCCAGGTCCATCTGAAGCCAGGTATGAAAAGAAGAGGAATAAAGATTTTAGCATCTCAGCGTGAAAATGGATGAAACATGTAGAACTTTCTTAGAAGAGGTGCTCTTCCAAGTGGTGAAAGATGTCTCTTTTTTATAGCATGTTGTTTGCTTCAATTTTGTCGCTTGCGTTAAGTGTTCTTTATTTTGTGACTGGTTACTGAAAGGTAAACAGATGCTTAATTTGCAGAACTGATTGCTATAGCATCCATCTGTAAGGAGATTCTACTTCTGAAGGGACAACAGGAACAGACATTTATCTTAAAGACTAATTTGATTTTCCCCCACCCCCAGAACTGAAGAAACTAATCAATTTACAATGCCCAGAAGATAATCCATACCCAAATTTTAATTCATATTTTTTAACACTGATGTTAAGTGAAAGCAGGAAGAAGAGAAAACAAAATACACTGGCTGAAATCCTGTTGTGTACTTAACGTAGGCATAACTTTCTGGGGGTAATTTCCTTACCTTTTCCAGCAGCCACTGGGAATAGACTGTTGCCCAATAGATTCAAGATGTAGAAGGATCCTCCGAGCAGCGCCATGACTCTTTGTTATGCCCACGGTAGCTACAACAGTGCCAATGTGGAAGTTCTATTCACAAACACATTGTGCAATTGGTTGTGATAGCAACCATGCAACCAATGGTGCATTCTGCATTGCCTGGACATAATGCCCAGCGAAGTTGTACAACTTTATCTTACACAGCCATAACTGGATTCTGGCCCTGGTATGATTTTATCTTGGCACAGCAAATAGTAAAAAAAAAAAAGCTAAGAATAATTAGTAAATCCATAGTTTTGGGGTTTTTTTTTAAGCTTGTCTCGTTTTTCTTCAAGAGGGATGTGGGGAAGTGATAAGCAGAAGTCCAACATACTGATGGTACAGATAAAAGGCAAATGTTCCTTTCATTAAATTTAGTTGTGTGAATTGAATTATGTTTCTTTATTCAAATGCAGACTCCTTATTTGTGTTTGTGGAGAGGGGGAACTGGAAATTCTTGATGAGCAGGATGTAGACGCATTAGTTTCTCATTTTGATTTACTCTGCCTGGATTTCTTACAGCACCTGGTTTTTGCTTTGCCTTTGTATATACGTGGATGGCAAAACCATCCCAAAACCAACAATGCAGAAACAGGTACTTTCAGAGTAATATTTTTCCTAGTCTGGATACTGAGGTCAGTAACAGTTAATTACATGGTTAATTATTTTCTATTAACTCTCCTATCTCTGATCAGTATTTAAAGTAGCTGGTGAATGTTAATTGTTGAAAGAAGATTCTACTGGATATTATGATATGCTGTTAATACCAAGCCTGATTTATGGAATTTGCAGTGGATATAAGAGTTTCCCAGCTGGACCTCCATTCAGTGAGGCATTGACCCAATCCAGACCTAATTAGCTTGTTATTTCACATGTCCCTAGGGCATACCTAAGACCATTAGTGATCTGTGTTGTGGTCTGCTGCAATCAAACCTTGCCAGCATACCTTGAAATCTGTTCCTAGCCCCTAGGGCATGTGATCTGTGTTGTGGTCTGCTGCAATCATACGTTGCCAGCATACCTTGAAATCTGTTCCTAGCCTCCCTGGAATGCCTTACCCGCAGTTCGTAGCGAATACTCTTTTGCCTTAATTGCACCATCTTCTGCTGCATGAGGCCAAAATCCCACCCAGCAAAGACTTTGTTGCTGTAGGAGCCAAGAGAAGCATCTTCACTAACCAGGCTGTGTTTGAGACAATAAACTGACCTGAGAAAAAATGAAGAGGGGCAGATGTTCAATTTGAAAATTTTTGAAGAAAGTTATGGTGGAGCAAACTTATTAATTGCAGAACTAGACTCACCTCCGTACAATCAAGCTCAAGCAAAAGAGGAGGTAGAAGAGTGCCGTGAGCAGATATGCGAGAGGGATATTGTATGAGAAGCCAACAAAATTAACAGCTGAATTCTTGTAGTAGCCATAAAACAGGTATGTTTGCTCTATGAACCCCTGCAAAGAGAAATACATTGACAAGCACTGGGGGCCATTAACTTGTGGCAGCGTTCCATAGTTTGTTTTATGGGTGATGCACTCTCTTACCTTGCCTGACAAAAGATCCATGATGTATGAAGGGTAGCTGACCAAGCCTTGGGGAGTGGGGTTGTAATGAAGACATGACACGTTAACTGTTTAAAAAAAGGGGGAGGATTGAATGGTTCACTTTGCTTCCACATCCCCATAGAATTCAAGTCCCATTGTCTAATCCACTGGTTCTTAACCTTGGGTTACTCAGGAGTTTTGGACTGCAACTCCCAGAAGCCTTCACCACCAGCTGTGCTGACTGGGGTTTCTGGGAGTTGCAGTTCAAAAGCATCTGAGTAACAAAGGTTAAGAACCACTGGTCTAACCCACCAGTTCTTCTTAAAGAACTCAGGCATCAGGGGAAACAGAGATCTCCTGGAGCTCAATATAAAAGCAGGCCTGTATATTCCATAGCTTTGATATGTGAGTGCGACACCTGATACCAGTTGGGGAAACACAGCCATTCTGAGAACTTGGCTTTTGATTCCTTTTTAGAAGTTTCTAGTCCTTACTGTAGCAGAGGAGTTTCTATACTTTATTTTCTTCACCTTAATATCAACAGACAAACAAAACACAAAATGAAAACACTCTGACAGAACTTAAAAGGTTTCCCGCCACTATTATTTAAAAATCTAAATCATGGAAGGAGGATAAAGAAGAGGAATCAAAGTAAACACATGTAAATATCCCTAGTTTGCATTTGTGCAATAGATTCCAGTACAGAGGTACAGTTTACGTGTTGCAGAATATGATGGAAATAATGGGTTGAATTGTTTGAACATTTCATCCCATGGGCTCAAAAGGATAAACTGAAAAACAAGGACAGAATATCTGAACCTTTCGTAACTTACCTGGATTAAAATGAAAATAAAAACAAACAAACAAACAAATGAAAACTTGTCCCCTTTTGTAGAATATGGAATTCTTGGTTCTTGAAACTTTTTTCCTGTTCAGTGAGTCATCACCATTTTTTTCTAACAAAACTTCCTATGCTTCAGTTAGATAATTTTAAAATTTGTTCCTAAGGAGCTTATGGGGAACCTCCCATCAGATAGCAGGATGTATTCATTTACATGTTTCAGATTGTCTTATAGTCACTGTCACCTCTTTAAGCAGGACTTTTATTTATTTATTTTTTAAAGTATTTTTATCCTGCCTTTCTCCTCAAAAGGCCCAAGGAGGCACTGTGTATAGCGCCACATACTTCAAAATGCTATTTGGAGAAAACAGTGGGGTACAGTGTTTAGAATGTTAGACTGGGATCCATGAGATTTGGTTTAACATCCCCACTTTGCCATTAAGTTTACTTGGGTATGCTTGGGCTAGTTGTATTCTCTCAGCTTGAACTACCTAATGGGGCTGCTAACAGGGTAAAAGTGTGTGTGCGGGGGGGGGGAGGTGAGAGTCATTTACAGCGTGCACTGCATTGGAGGAAATTCCGGATATAAATTTAAGCAACAATGGCATAAATAAATACTTATCCCGCTAAATGGGGCTCTGGACGTCTGTCAAGAAGGCCTTTCCTGGTGGTATGAGTGTACAAATGCTTTCTATGTTTAATCCCTATATGACATGCAAAAATTTAACAAATAAGATCCTCCCACCATGGAATTGTTATTATAAGAAAGCTCCACCTGTTGACTTTCTGCCTCCTGTGTTGCTCTTTAAGATATAAAGACTTGCCAGAAGATAAAGAGAAAAAATTTTCTTCTCTCCTCAGTATACTGTACTTAGAAGTTTCAGCCCATTAGAATGAGTGCTCAAATCACTTTATTTGTAAGGATTCTTGTTGACAGGCTCACCTAAACTGCCATTTAGCTGACTTGTCCAACTGAGATGCAGGGCTTCAAATGCTGCATTTGGAGCAATTACAAATCCCACCACCAGCAGTGAGGCAACAAAATTCATCAGCACCAGAAAACGCAGGAAATTGAAGTAGGACTGGATCCCTGTTCCAAAGTGACCTAGGAATAAAGAATGTGAACACTTAAGGGACAAGACCAGAAATCGCAACCACTTCACTCCTGCCCTGGTGCTGATTAAGAGCCCCTCCTCATACCTTCAATTTTGCGCAGTGAACTTTGCCACATCTTAGTGTCTGAGATGACTGCATCCACCTGGCTCTTGAGACGCCGCAGCATCCGCCGTTTCTCGACACGCCAGAGTTCCCAGCCATTGAGTCTTTTAGCTGCCTGCTCCTGTAGCACTCTTGAAAAAGTGGGGGCAAAAAGCCCATATGGCTTAATGGGAAGTTAAAAATGTTAACATCGAGGTTCTTGCGGAAGTTATCAAACTGTGAGCCCCTAATTTCCTCCACAGTTACTAAATCTGCAACACAAATGCGTGACAGCATCCTCATCCAATCATTAGGGAGAATGGGGTCATGGCCTCAGGTGGCAGATGCTGGAGGCACCTCTTGACTCTTAACTCTGGACTCTGTAACTACAGTATTTCTCTCTGCTACACAACTTGCCCTAGATTCTCTAATTTATCCCAAAGTGTGTTGCAGCAGAGCAGAGCAAAGCAAAGCGTGCTGTTTATATACCACTCCATAGCACTGCAGGATTCTCTAGGAATTTTTACAATTTAATAATGTAGGCTTCACATTGCCCCACCACTACCAAAAGCTGGGTACTCAGTTTACCAATCACAGAAGGATGGAAGGCTGTGTCAACCTTGAGCCGGCTCCCGGAGCCCATTGGGACTGAACTCAGCTCATAAGCAGAGTCTTGATTGCAATACTGCAGTTTGAGAGAGTTTGTATCTCCTCTAGCCAATTATATACCTCCCCCCGCCCAACAAAACTCAACAAATTCGTTATCAGCATCTATTCCCAGTTCTTCTGGATTCCTCATATGTTTGTCTTATTCCACAAAGGTCTATATAAAACCTAGGACAGCCTTCAGACATGTTGGATTGGAGAGCCCATCATCCCCAGCAAGCACATCCAACTTTGGTGGCTGGGGTTGATGGATGTTGTACTCCAACACATCTGGGAGGGGTGCCAGGCTGGGAGAGACAATTATGGGGAAATCTCATCTCAGACCATTCTGAATAGGTGTCCCCTCCTTCATCTTAGGGATCCAGGCATCCTTCTACCTGAGCTTTCGTTTATCCTGAAAGCAAAGGGGCAGCTCTGCCAGGGGTCTGCTGTCTTCCTCCTCCTCGCTCAACACAAATTCTGTCACCAATTCCTGAGGGTCAACTGCGTCCTCTGATGCCTCTTCCCAAGCTGCTCCCCAGGCCGCTGCCTTGTTGCCACGGAAACGTAGTGTCTGGTTGCTTGGCAGCTGGAGAAGGAGAGATGGAGGGCCATGGCGGCCCCCACTGGATCCTGGGGGAGGATACAGGATATAAGACATGCATATTCATATCCATAACCATAATCAATGTGTGGTGTCAACTTGATTCTGGCTTATGGGAGCCTTTCCCAGTGTTTTCTAGGTAGAGAAAACTCAGAAGTGGTTTACCATTCTCTTTTTGTGAGGGCATCCTGGAACTGTGCAGCTTGCCCAAGGCTACCCAGGCGGGCTCTTCTCTCAGCAGGCACAATGAGGAATAGAACTGCCACACCTAAACCACTGAGCTATCCAACCAGCTTTAGAGGGCCCAAAAAGCCATCTATTCACTCCAGGATTACCCTATCATAGCCTTCTTTTTTTCCCCCTCCCAGACAGGATTAGCCTATCACAGTGTGTTTTTTTTTCCTCCCAGAAATGCGCACACACCAGCCCAGCGATGCCAGTTCAAAAAAAGAAAATGTCCAAGCTCTGAAGTCTGTGCAATTCAAATTAGTTGGGCACAGAGGGAGTCGCCATGAAGTGTTTGATGAGCTCAGCTATACACAACAGAAAGCAGCAAAGCCCCCTCCCCCAAAGGATTACTAATTGCTGTTCAATTTGAGAGAAAGTATTTTTATCCTACCCTTCTATGGGCAAAATTCACTGAGTGATTTTTTTTATCTTTTTGTGTTTCTACCATCACTGCATCAGATATATTTTCCTTTCAACTACTCAGAATTCTCCCACCTTGGCTCGGAACCTTAAGGCAATACTACCATACCTAAATACCTATACATTTCCCTCCCCTCTCTTTTTATGTCTTATTTTTGTTTCTCTCTTTTCGATTTCTTTAGATTGCTATTTCTTCTATGTGTACATGTTCCATTGCGCCTCTGTTTAGAGAAGCCGAAAAATGTACAGCAGCCCCTCTCCTCAACCTAAAACTGGCTGTAGTGCAGGGGCACAACAAAGTTGGAGGGAACCATTTTGGGGTGGGGGCAATTTATGGTACTTTCTGTAAAGAAACAAAATTATGGATCCCCAGTGGATAGCTTTCTCTTGAAAGTCAGTTTAAAGGCAACCCAGTGTTCTTTTTTTATGGTTCCATTCAAGTTTAAATGGAGCCTGTCTCTTTCGGATCAGATTCCAATCAAAGAACATTTCACCCCCTCTTCCAAGATTCTGTTTGCAGACATGAATCATGTACCTAGATGAGATTTGCTAGTAGGACTCTTACTAAAGTGGGTGTGTTGTGTGCCGTCAAGTCAGAACTTATATGGACCCTAATAAAGCTTTCAAGGTGAGATATTTAAGGAATAGTTTTACCAGTTCCACTCCCCCAGTCAGCTGGGAATTTGGGAATTTGAATGCTGTTCTCCAGAATCCTAGTCCATTACCGTAATCTATCCACTACACCACACCAAGGATCCAATGTAAGAATAACTCACGAAAAAGTGTTGGCAAATTTTGTAATCCTAGACCCAGATGAAACCAGCAATGCCTAAAATCAGAATTATTCCTTGTTACCTGTTTCATCTTCTTGGCTCCCCAAACCACTTTCCCGATCACTGGCCATGGCTGCAGGTTACGTTTATATTTCTTGTTCAGTGCACTTTACGCTTGGCAGCACCGGGAACAAGGAACAAGGAAATAAGAAGTCTGGGCAGGGATTAATTATTATTTCAGAAGGACTGCCCCATGAACAAAGGCAGGAGCTTGGCAACAAACAGATCAGAACCCAAAGCCAGGGCTGTGATTAAAAAATTCACTTTACCATAATTGCTTGAAAAGTTATTGCTGCCTCTGGAAATGGACTGGGGTTGGTATTTGGTGGATGGAGAAGGGCTTTGATTTGACCTAAAATAAAACTTAGTGTTGAATTTTTACACATAAAACAAAAAACTCAGGTTCGCTGGCAATTAGATTTCCCAGTAAGTTTTCTTTATTTATAATATTATTTGCAGATCACATACTTGAGAATTTATTTAGACAACTTGGCTATATTCATGAACAAAGGAAGTATAAAGCAGTTGGAAGTCCGAGGGGGAGGGAGATAGGCCCTCCAGCTGTTTTGGACTCAATATCCCAGAATCCTCAGCCACCATGGCATGTGAGTGCACATTTTTGGACCATAGCTAAAGCCATCAATACTACAGTCACAGAAACTGTCTTTTAAAACAGCTTACATATTGACTCCCGGTCATCCTGGAATGGATGTGGTGGTGCTGCGGGCTAAACCGCAGAAGCGTGCGCTGCAGGGTCAGAAGACCAGCAGTCGTAAGATCGAATCCACGCGACGGAGTGAGCTTCCGTCGCTTTGTCCCAGCTCCTTGCCAACCTAGCAGTTCGAAAGCATGTAAATGCAAGTAGATCAATAGGTACCATCTTGGTGGGAAGGTAAAATGGCGTTTCCTGGTCACACTGGCCACGTGACAACGGAAACTTGTCTTCGGACAAGCGCTAGCTCTACGGCTTGAAAAGCGGGATGAGCACCGCCCCCTAGTCGGACACGACTGGACTAAAAATGTCAAGGGGAACCTTTACCTTTACCATCCTGGAATATGCCATATGGAAACAATTTTGTTTGATAAAAGAAGTATAATGGTTACTTCAAAACTAGAGCTTGAATAGAACAGAAAAAATAGGAGAGCGATTGATGTGACTTTGTAGGACAAAAATAGGGTAGGATTCTGGGACTGTAGCAGAAGTAGTGTCAAGAGTGCAAAATAAACCATGAGTTTTGAATTTGCTGGGGAAAATTAGAAGTGGTTTATGAATTGGGGGGGATTTATTTCACTGCTATTATCATTCTGCTTTCCAATTACACACTGCAGTTGGTTCTATGAAACAGAACAACTCAATTCAAGTTGTTTTTCCAGAGGAATCAAGACAAAATTTTCAAGGCCAGTGGCTTGTTCTTTACTGCCATCTACAGAATAAACAACAAACTGAACACATAAAGGTATTCTTAACAAAAATTTTATTTTTTCACTCAGACCTCCCCTTAGATGCAAAGTATGTTTACAGTTTCACATTTGATCTTCCCTTAAGATATAAAGAAATTACCCTCCTTGAGTCAGGCACAATTGCATAAATAATTTTGGATTTCTGCAGTGGAAAACTCGACGTTCAGGAGTCATGATAAGATAAGATAAGATAAGATAAGATATCATCACCGTGGGGAGGGGGCGATGATATCTTCCTCAATAGCTCAAGGGGGCGTTTTTTTTAAAAAGGTTAAGAACCACTGCTGTAGCAGAAGTAGTGTCAAGAGTGCAAAATAAACCATGAGTTTTGAATTTGCTGGGAAAAATTAGAAGTGGTTTATGAATTGGGGGGGATTTATTTCACTGCTATTATCATTCTGCTTTCCAATTACACACTGCAGTTGGTTCTATGAAACAGAACAACTCAATTCAAGTTGTTTTTCCAGAGGAATCAAGACAACATTTTCAAGGCCAGTGGCTTGTTCTTTACTGCCATCTACAGAATAAACAACAAACTGAACACATAAAGGTATTCTTAACAAAAAATTTATTTTTTCACTCAGACCTCCCCTTAGATGCAAAGTATGTTTACAGTTTCACATTTGATCTTCCCTTAAGATATAAAGAAATTACCCTCCTTGAGTCAGGCACAATTGCATAAATAATTTTGGATTTCTGCAGTGGAAAACTCGACGTTCAGGAGTCATATCTTGAAACATGTATTTTCCAAAGCTATGGGTTTCCAAAACAGAATTTTGCAGAACATAACACAAATATTGTGGCTTGAAACAGCTTCCAAACATTCAGGAACCCTAAGTTCCTAGTCAGAGCCGCCGTTACATGCAAAATGTTTTTCTTAACGAATAGTTCTCCACTATTAAATAAGCAAATACAAGTTCTGCAGTATCATCCTTTTGCTGTTCCAGGTTTTAGGACTGGAGATGCCTTTTTACCTCTAAGAATCTCACCCTCACTTGGTGGGTATCACTGATTCAGGGCTTGGTAGGAGTCTGACAAGACTTTCTACACATTTCACTGCACAGAGGTATCTACAAACACTTGATCTGGCAGCAGCTTTTCCAACTCTGGCGTCCAGTTCCCCTTTCCAAACCCCCCGTATTCTTTCAAGGATACAACTGTAGTACTAAAAATTATGAAAACAGAATGGAGTGCTGATAAGCAGGTAAGAGACAGAGCTCAGCTCCTTATTGCAAAGCCCCAGCTTCTCTGTAAAACTGCTGAGGTTGGGAGTTTACAAAAATGAAGGAGAGAGAGAGAGAGAGAAACATGTTTAAGAGCAGAGAGATGCTATGAACCAGAACTCTCAAACTTTTTAGGAAGGGAGTGAAACGTTGAAAGAGTATTCAGCAAATAAAGGGATTAGATGTTAGGTTTTCTCCCACCCCCAGAGGACACACTACTGCCATCACATACAGCATCGGGTGTCGGGATCCATAAGTCCTATAGTAAGGAAGCAAAGGAAGAGCAGATACCTTACGACTCTACTCCTCATTCCTTTTCTTGGACTCCTAACTACAACTTCAGCAGTGAAACAAGTTTTTTAAAAAATAGTCTTTGTGTTGAGTATACGCCTGGCCTCCAGGACTGACGGGAACGCCCATGTTGGGGGTTTAAGTCAACCTCATTTTCGCCTTGTCACTCCTGCCGTCGAGGGTTTTCTGCAGCTCCATCTTTGCCTTTTTTGGAGCCTCGCTCCCTCCAGACTCCCAAGGCTTTCCCCAGCAGGAAGAATGCCACTGCCCCCACATGGATGCAAAAATAGATGGAGCTCCAGTAGTGAACAGTGTCCTCAAAGGTGAGCAGTACAAACCCCATGCACATGTAGTCGTAAGCCCTCATCTTCAGGAACCACTGCACCCAATCGCCATAGAGACGGCCAGAAGGGGACAGGTGCTTCAAGAGCCCGCTCTCCATTGCTCCCTCAGCTGCAAGGCATAGTGGGATAGTAAGGAAGCTGAGGTAGTAGCCAGGGTGAATCCCATGCCAGTAGGCAGAGATGAGCATAGTCCAGGCACTCCTGAGAAGAAAGTATACTGTTACTACTAGAATTCTTTTCCCTATGTGCCAACCTGCCCCCTATCCCAGGATATTTTACATGCCTTCCCATTATCAATCCATCGCTCCTCCATTTTTGTTGTTGTTAGGTTTAGCTACTCCATAATCATCTGCTGCCCTTTTATACCACCCTTTGTATGCTCTGATTCTCCAAATTTTGTTTTCAACTTGCCCACCACAGGCTGGACAGCTTTCACAACTATATCGCTCAAATACCTCTCTCTGAGCTGACCCACTCTTAAGGCCAGGTTCCACATTTTAAAATAAGCTGCATGGAATACCTTTATCATAAAGCACTACCCTTCCGTTTTATAGTTCTCCCTGTTAACTCCCTGCTCTATCTAAATCTCATTACTGTACTCCACAAACCAGTTGTCTTATTTTTGACTTGTAACTCATTTCCTACTACTATCCTCCCAAATCACTCATCTGAATAAAGCATTACTGTACTCCAAAAACCAGTTGTCTTATTTTTGACTTGTTACTCATTTTCTTATTACTATCCTCCCAAATCACTCATCTGAATATACGTTTCAGTGCTCAACACTTCTAGAATGATGTATTCTGCCAATCTTCCTATCAAGCCATTACTGTTCCAGAATTTACTCCCAACCCAACCCAAGCTATCCTCAAACCTCATGCTGACAGCAAGCTTATGATTCAACCCCAAAGAAGTTCTTTTCTCTATTTTGAATCTTTGTACATTTCTCCCATACTCCCAGGGTTCTCTACTCACCTCATGACGTAGGAACGGACAGGTGCACTTTTATAGATGTATTGTGCCAGCCACCACTGAACAGTCATATTCCAATAACGCATGCCATCCTTCACCTTGACGCAGAAGTCTGTGCCGTGTGGATCAATGTTTTTTATTGTCTCGTAATCATAGGTGATGCTGGACACTTCCCCATCAGTTGATTTGCTTACAAGAAAAAAGAAAACAAAACATTAATGCAGTTGTAATCTCTAGAACTGACCACTGTGAGGCAGAAACATTAATGCAGCTGTAATCTCTAGAACTGACCACTGTGAGGCACACCACATGAAGCTGAGCTTGAATACTGCCTGGAACAGTGATTCTTAACCAGTGGAGGATGTTCCTTCCTCCAGCAAAGGCCTATCAGGATTTTGAGGAGCCATGAAGAAAGATATTCAGTGCTTAAGATACTGTATTCAATGTCTTCAGATCACTGTAGTTTGCCCATCCCTCCATTACAGGAAGAAAAGAACCACTGGGTCTCCAGATATTTTGGGTTACATCCTGTACATTTGGCTTTTATGGGTGAACCCAACTGGAGTTGTAGAGTAAAAACATCTACAATGCAAACTTTTCACCACCTCTGCAGTGAGGTAAGACAGAAGATGTGCGGAGGAAAGCATGTATGAGTTTACTATAGGGAACAGAAGCTCTGCTTGCTCTTTTTAGTAGCACTCTTTCCTAACCAAAATAAAATTCTTTAAAAATGCTTGTAGGACTATAAACGAGAACCTTCAAACAGAACCATATAAAATGTGCACAAACATGGGTTTAAAATATGAAACAGATTTTGAGGACAGAATGTAGTCACGCAGGCTATTCCACTACCCACAACCCTTTGAGCAGCAAAAGACTGGCAGCTGAAGAACGGAAAGTCTCTATATGTTGTATTTACCATATTTTTCCGTGTATAAGATGCCCCCATGTATAAGACACCCATACTTTTCTAATTAAAATTAAGAAATCTAAGTAGGACTTAGCAAGTGTAGGGGGAAAGGGATCAAAGCGCTGCAGGATCGTTTTGATCCCTGCTTTCCTCTCCACTTGTTTTTGTTCTCTCCTCAGCTTACTTCCGTGTATAAGATGACCCTCAATTTTTAGTCTAAAGATTTTAGACAAAAGTATAGTCTTATACACAGAAAAATACGGTATGTAAAGTTTCTCTAAATCAAAGCGACTTCGTAATAGAGATGGAACTTCAGATGGCTCACCTGCTGAGCGGTTCATATTCCATGGTGGGTCCCCCGCCTGACCGCGATTTGGCAGTGGTCGGATATGCACCAAAGGCGGCTGCGATGCAGCCACATTCCGCACAGAGCCAGGCCACATAGAAGCGCATGCGGAAGACAAAAAAGATGGGCACCATATAGAAGAGGCGGAAAGGAAATCCTCGTTCACTGAAGACATCACTTCGAACGTAGCTCAGAGGGAAGAAGTGAGACACCAGTAGAAAAAAGGCGCCAAAAACCGGAATCATTTTCGCCCTGGAAAGCAGCGGTTGCCAGCTAGGGATGGCCGAGGAATCTGGTTGGTTCAACCAATCGTAGTGAGTACGATAACGGTAAAATGGGCCTGGACAGACAAAAGCGAGATTCAGATCACCGAGTTAAACAGAGATGATTGTGTCCAAAAGACTTGGGGTAGAGTGGAGAATGACACAGCGCATTTCAATAAACTAAGGGCAGAATGTGGAAAAACCACTTTTTGAGGCTACAGGTTCCAGAATCTCATATCTAGTACAACCAAAGCCCATGCCGGCTGGGACACTCTTGAGAGATGTTCTCCAAACAAAGTAAAAATTTAAAGCTCTGGTTAAGAATATATGTACAGTGGTGCCCCGCATAGCGACGTTAATCCGTTCCGGATTAATCGTCGCTATGAAAAAACATCGCTAAACGGAACGGAAAACCCCATAGGAATGCATTAAACTTAGTTCAATGCGTTCCTATGGGGCCCTAAACTCACCGTTCTGGGATGTTCCTCCATAGCGCCACCATTTTCGCGCCCTCGGTAAGCGAGGGCAGGGCGCGAAAATGGTTGAGGCGGCCATTTTGGGCGTCCGGCGGCCATTTTGGAACCACCGAACAGCTGTTTAAAAAAACATCGCAATGTGAAGATCGGTAAGCGAAACGCTTACCGATCGTCGCAATGCGATTTTAGCCCTATCTAAACCACAATGTGATCGCTTTTGCAATCGCAATTGCGACATCGCTATGCGGATTTGTCGTTAAACGGTGTGCTCGTTAAGCGAGGCACCACTGTAGTTTGGATGCAGGACAAGCATTTCACAGTTGCCGAGCCCCAAGTCTTCTCCCAGAATCTCATGATACAAGCAGAACCTGCGGGAACACAGCTTCCAATTTGTTATCCTTATGGCTGTAGCAGACATACAGTCATTCGGTACTGCTCCAGCAGTGGGGAAAGGAAACAATAAAGGACAGAGCAGGCTAACTGAAGCCATATGTAAAGATGACTAATGTGAAGACCAGTATATTCCTTAGATAAGCACTGGGGGTGGGTGGGTGAGGCATGCTTGTTAAAGTCGGGGCACGGATACATAGAAACATGTATGGCACAAAATATGCTGGTTTGCATACATTGTTCACCCCACTCTTTCGACACTGGTTTGGTAGCTTGGTAACTGTTAGGTAACTTGCGTACCTGTCATGAGCCCCACGTAGCAGTAACTGTAACACAGGATCTCTACCAATCCGGGCATTTTGGGGATCACACCGATCACAGAGGATTTGGCAAAGGATGTCACTTCCTGTTTCTTTGCCGCAGTGAATTCTTGTACTTCATTGGCTAAGCTCACCATCTGGCAGATAAAGATTAAAAAACCATGGGATATAGACTTCCTAGTGGATCAGCCCTCCCTTTAACTCATGTGTCTGCCTGAACACAGCATGGCACTTTTTACCTTGAGCGTGAGTAAAAGTTGCACTGCATTGGTGAAAGGTGTTGGCTCTGGGAGGTCAAAGGACGTCACTGTGCGGAAAAAGAGCAGGTAGGAAAAGGTCCATCCGAGTGTCAAATAGTGGCAAGACCTGGTATGGATAAAATAATACAAGAGGCTGAAATTTCAAGTTATTCAAGTTCAACCCCTTTATATGTATAACCACATCTTTGCAATAGGTTTTGTAATTTTGTATGCCAAGAACAAAAGTATGGGTTCAGATTGTGGCTTGAACTGGCTAGGAAATCACAATTTCTTCATGGGAAGAAATGAACAAGCCAGAATTCACCAAGTCACAACCTAGCTTACAACCCACCCCGTTTTTGATGTTCCTTTCCCATTGACCAATATTATAATCTAGTAAACTCTCAGGAATCTTGACTCTAAACCTTTGTGCTTAATACCTGACAGATAAGAGAGGGCCTTCTGGGTAGCTGCTTCCAGATTGTGGAATTGCCTGTCAACGGTAGGCTAGCCTAGCCCCTCACCTGTGGCTCTTCCGTCTGCAGATGGACACCTCTTCTATTCAGGCAGCCTTTTGGCAGAAAGTGGTATTTAATGTTGCTGTACCTTTTTAAGAAGTGTTTCTTTAAAGTGTTGCTATCTTAATAAGAGTTGTAATGCTATGGCCAGAATCCCATTGGTTAGTGACACTAGCATAAGAGCAATGTTGTGAACTGTAGTGGTAAAATGCCAACAGTGAATAAGTCACCACTTGCATTCCTTATTGTGGATCAGTGACTGGCACACAATGAAGAAACCAAACAGTGGCTTGCTAACTAGCAGCAATTTGCCACTCTGAGCGACACTGCCCTTATGCCTAAATAACCAATAGGATTTTGGTCACTAGTTTGTTAATTGTGTTCTATAATTATAATCTTTTAAGTTTTAAAAAACTGTTGTTTTCATTATGTGCTATCAAGTTGCTTCTGACCTGTTTTCAATTTGTTGTGAACTGCAGTGAGTTCTGGAAGAAATGCAGGTTATTAATCAAATAGATCATCATCACCATCTACTTCCCATTGAAAGAAATGCCAACCACACAGAATTTCATGCAGTAAATTCCTGATCAGAGTCCTCTTCAAGACAACAAAGATACTTCATCTTACAGGGTCTCTAAAACAAACCCAGAATGTCGAACATTGGCCACTCTAGCTCACCAGACCAGAATTCCTCAGGTTTGCTACTTTACCTAGGAGAGAGGTTGATAATCAGCCATGTCCCCAGGATAGTAATGAGCGAGTGAAGGGTGTGAATGTGGCACGTGGCCAATGTCAACACAAGTCCCACAGCTGCCCCTCCAAACTGCTTGACCTTTGGCCCTGCAAGAAAAGGATGACACAGTAAACAACAACAGTTGTTTTTTTCCTATATCTGGCCTTTTCATTTTCTCACTAATTCTGTTGGCTTCTGTTTAAGGGCAGGCTGCTGAGGAAAACAAGTCAGAGGCAAGCCACTCTTCAGGGTTCAAACATAACAAGCCAAGATTCAAACAAGCCAGAGTTTCTGCATCAAGCACAAAACTAAGTTCAGTTGGCTAATGAACTACATTTTTAAATAAACAAACAAAAATTCTTTGTAGAAATAGAACAGGATTCACCAAACCACACCCTGGCTTCCAATTATTTGTGGACCCAGATAGGAGGTAATGGGAAAGACCTCTGTCCAAATTGGAGAGTTGCTACCACCACTTTGGCTTACTCTGAGTGGGTCACAGCTGAGCTAAATGCTATCCTTCAAATGTTGGGCTGCATAATCCCTTGCCAGCATAGTCAACATCTGGAGCTGTAGTTCAGCAACAAAAGCACCCTTAGATAGTACTGAGCTAGGTCAAGAAATACAGTGGTGCCTCACACAACGATGTTAATTGGTTCCAAAAAAATCAACGTTGT